AATTGCTACGTAAGTTCTTGCTAGAAAGAGAAGAGGAGGGGGAAGAAAGTCTAATTAGAAATTATGAAAAGATTGATTTAAAAGATGCATCCTATATGATTGGAGCAGCTTCGGGCAGTTTAAAAGAACAGACTTTAAAAAAAGCTTGGAATAAAATTTTGTGTATAGCGGAAAGTTCTCAAAGCGGAAGTGGAAATGAAGACCAGAATGATATGTGTTCGCGACGGCCTAACAACGTTAAGAAACAAAGTGATAAAGAATATTGTTTTTAGTATTAATAGTGAAATTACCGATAAAACTGGCTGAAAACGTGTATATAATTGTTTAGCATGTTTATAACTCTTAGTATATTTTTGATAACAAGTGATATAAACAACTTTTATTATATAAAGAAAAATTGACTAATCACAGCGCGTCTTATCGTAGAACTCTCTAGAAGTTTTTTAATTAACTCCGTAATAGTTCATACTAAAAATAATGAAAATAATTTTATGTTCTAAAAGAGTTGTAAATATGACATTGAATTAGCATATGGCTTATAGATTAAATAAGTGTAGGAATATTTTGTATAATTAAACGCACTTGATAGTTATAGAAAAATCAAAGAATTAATGTACTCAAATATTATGAAAATTTGGGACATTACATTTAATAACGTTTTACAATGTTAATGTTTTGAGTAACCTTTATGATATACTAATAAAGTACCAGACTACCGGTTTGATGATGTATAGCGTGTTAGTGTAGCAATTAGTTTTGTATAGAAAATATTGTAATTTATGCCATTTGCATAGTGAAAAGTTTATGCAATAAAGTGGCAAAACGGAAAATGGCAAGCGGCTCACTGTAAAGTATAGTCAAAGTCTACCTTAGGGGCTCGGTACCCAGAAGGAGTAGTAGTGTGAAGAACTACCAGTGACAAGCAGTGGTATCCGGTAGTAGCTGAAGTGACTAGTAGCAGTATATAGTGAATAGTGAAAGTGTTAGCTAGCCGAAAAAGGTCGTAACTGATATTCGCAGTTACATATAGTGAAAGCGTTAGCTAGCCGAAAAAGGTCGTAACTGATATTCGCAGTTACACATAGTGAAAGTGTTAGCTAGCCGAAAAAGGTCGTAACTGATATTCGCAGTTACATATAGTGAAAGTGTTAGCTAGCCGAAAAAAGGTCGTAACTGATATTCGCAGTTACATATAGTGAAAGTGTTAGCTAGCCGATAAAGGTCGTAACTGATATTCGCAGTTATATATAGTGAAAGTGATAACTGATATCCGCAGTTACAAAAGTGATAAAATCAACTACTTTAGTTGATAATAGCTGCTAGTCAGTAGTGTTAGAAAACCAGCTACTACCAATAGATATTTGATACCACCGTACAATTTAAAGAAACCTTTTGACATATACAGTGATCAACCAATAGTTAACAACCGTAGTTCAACAACCGTGGTCAATAAAAATAGTTATAAAATTTCGCGACTAATCAATCAGTCGAACCACTGGCCACTACCTTGCTATTTGTATTTATTAATCGTGCATTTTGATTTGAACCTCAGTCCACAATATCTCAGCGGCACCCACAAAGACGGCAGTGAAAGTACCCACCGGAACCTATAGGTGTAGGACGTGAGCGACTCGCGAAGTATCTTCGACAACATTTACTCCGAAGAGTTTCGCCCGTCCGGCACAATATGTCTGAAATGCTAAATATGCTACAAGAACTCAATTAACATGAATGTGATGAAGACGACGTTCAAGTATGGGTGACTGTCGACGATACAGATCTATGCACCAAATCTTGCAGGATAGCGAAATTGTCGACCTCGATGTCGTGAGCGCTAATGACGCTGAATGATGTGAATGCTAATGCCGCCAGCACCTCATCAATTAGTGGTTCAGAAAATGAAGTCGAAAATATTACTACTGCTTTTAAAGCGTTTACATACTTGTTTGTCACTTGAAAGAGAAGACCAAATTGGCCTCTAAAAAGCTTGGCGTGCTCAGCAGAGCGAGACGGTATTTCATGCCGGCACACCGCCTGCAACTTTACAAGGCGCAGGTTCGACCTCACATGGAATACTATTCCCATCTCTGGGCTGGGGCTCCCCAGTACCAGCTCCTTCCACTTGACCGCATCCAGCGCAGAGCGGCTCGAATCGTCGACGACAGAGTGCTTTCCGATCGGCTCGATTCACTGGCGCTGCGAAGAAGTGGAGATGTTGCATCTCTTTGCATTTTCTTTCGCATCTACCACGGGGAATGCTCTGAGGAATTGTTCAGATCAATCGCAGCCGTCAAATTTCATGAACGCACTGCGCGGCAAACCTCCCGATACCATCCACACCATCTGCATGCTTGGCGGTCTACCACTGTACGTTTCACTAGGAGTTTTCTTCCGCGTACGACCTCTCTTTCGAATAGTTTACCACTGGTGATTTTCCGGACCGATACGACCTAGGGACCTTCGAGAAAAAAGCTTACTCCTTTCTAAAAGGCTGGCAACGCACCTGCAATTCCCCTGGTGTTGCAGTTGTTAATTGGTGGCGGTAGTCACTTAACATCAGGTGAACCGTATACTCGTGTGCCCCCTCTCCTATAAAAAAAAGTATACGCCCTTACAATAAAGTCTCAGAATGTATGACCTATCAAAATGTTTGAAATTTATATTGAACAAAAATTGTTGCATCATCATCATCATTACAGCCTTTCACAAGTCCAAAGCTGAATATAGTACTCCTCCAAAGAATGCCACAAAGAATGGAGACACAGAGCCACCTGCAACCGTCAATTTATTTTATTTATTTATTTATTTAAGCTTTATTTGCACACATAAAAGAAATGTACAAAACGGCGGACTTAATGCCTAAAGGCATTCTCTACCAGTCTACCTTTGGTTTGTGCAGAGAATCTAGTGATGGGTGCAAAACTCATAATTAAAAAAAAATTAAAGGTTTAAGGAAAAAATACAAATTTATAATATAATGATAATAAACAATACACATACATATACATTTACATTACTACTTACATGCATACAATATTATTTTATATATATACACAAATACCCACAATAAATACATACACAATAAATAAATATGATATTTTTATACTATACATACTTGAGAATATAACAGTTTCTGAAGTTTTTAAATTTTTTATTATAATCCGAAACTACTACTGCTTCTTTAAGTAATATTCCCAGAGTAAACGTTTAAAGATAGGTTTAGTTTTTGCTTCTTTTATATTTCTGGGTAACATGTTCCAGAGTCTTACTGCATTTGAAGTGAAAGAATTGTAAGAGAAGCCCGTGCGACAGAAAGGAACATGAAGAGTTAGATTTTCCGCGGAACGAAGACATCGGTTGTGAGAATCGCCCTGATACTGAAATTTGCATTTCAGATATGCAGGGACAAACGGATCGTGTAAAATAGAGAATAGCATAGAAAGGATTCTAAAAGATCTACGAAGTGGAAGAGGCAGCCATTTGAGCTGAGAACGGAATGAAGAGACGTGATCGAATTTACGTAAGCCAAAGATAAAGCGAATACAATTATTGAGAAGACGATCCAGTTTGTTAAGAAGTTCTTGAGAGGCATCAGCATAGCATACATCTGCATAATCTAGTATTGGTAATACGAGCGTTTGAACCAACATTACCTTTGTTCTCACTGGAAGAAAATTCTTGAGTCGATACAGACAACGCAAGGTGTTGATAACTTTTTTTGCTTACTTCCGTGACTTGCGGCCGCCAACTCAGACTGCTGTCAATGATAAGTCCTAGATTTTTCACAGTAGCTGAATAAGGTATGACAGCATTATTAAAATTTACAGGTGGCAATTTCCTGCATGTCTTATCAAGTTGTCACTCCATCTAGTGGGGGGCTACAACACATTTCGCCTACCGGTACGATTTATGTAAAATTTTAACTACACCATGATTTTAAGATTTTAAAATAGTTTAATAAGGGTAATTATACAACTAAAGAATACATGATTTTGATATTAGCCCCTGGGTATGAGGTGATTGTTGCCATCGCTACAGTTTCTAAATGTTTACATATTTAATTGTACAATCTAACAAAATATATTGTAAAATAATGCCTAAAAAAGTCCCGCTGGATTTCTTGCTGGCGCTTAAAGGACAGTGTATTTTTTCGGAACCAGTGGTAAAAGCCTAAATGCCTTTTAATTCTCAATAGGTATTCTTGTTATCTAGGTATTGAATATTTTATTAATTGGTTTACTATTTTGTTTACAGTTTGGTCTTACATAATTCTCTTAGTAACCAAAAGATGTCACTTTGTTCAAAATATTTATGGATTTTTTTTTTAAATTTTAATATATAAAGTAAAAAAACAACATTAAAATCAATAAAATATTTTACTATGATGTTTTTTGTGCTATAGAATTTCGCAAACTTAATTATTTATTTTTATAATTGAGTTCTGACATGTTACCTATTTACGTCCACGGTACACATTCGAATTCTAGGATTCGAATCCGGACTCAAGGCTTAGTAGAAAATATGTCTATATCTTTATTTTATTTAAATAAATTGTGTTGATAATTTTTTATTTGTTTACAACAGCTACATTGTGGTTGTGGGTTTTTAAGTCCAATAATATGTTTTAAAATTAAATATTTAATAGTTTTGACAAGTACCTAATAAAAAAGCAATAATTCTCGAAAATAGTTATAGATGTTTAATCTTACAATTTTATTTGAATATCAAACAGCTAAACATTATAATAATTAACTATATGTTTATAAAATAACACGAAAGTATGGTCTCTAAGTGAATTTGCAAAATTTTAGTAGGCGCCATCTATGACTATATAGTAAAAATGTTATATATGGCCGCCCCAACCATTGTTGACTACTTTATCGACGCAGCAAACGCCATTTTGCTATTACAGAAGTTGCATTATCTTTCGTCAACAATGTAATGTTCACAGTGAAATGTTTGTGAGGATTTTTCAGTGTTTATGATATGTAAGGTGAAAGTTGGCCCCAGATATAAATACTAGGATTATGGAGGAGTCTAATGAGCAGGTCAACGTCGTCCCCGGTAAGACTAGTGCCTCAAAAATAAGCTAGATATTGAGAGTGTCCTATGTGCGAGGTCGTGTAACGATAGACTTCTCGGTTTCAGAGCTCTACTTTCTGATAGCGAAATTTCTCTCCGGTGGCCCTCTTAAAGAAACTGCAAAGGTAAATTAGCTTCTACTATATCTGATTAATATAAATTGCTCGTAAAAATAACTAATTGAACTCTTCTTTCTTACAGACTTTGCTAAAAGAGCTCGAGAGCGTAGAGGTAAGTGAGAGCTTTTCCTAGTGCCGGGTTTAGAGCTTATTGTTGTTTTGGTCGCGAACGCACGTGGATACGGCTGTCAAACTTGCTGAAAGTTTACTGAAAAGTTTATACCCTTTCCGTACTGTTGTAGGTACTACCAAGACGGCTTGACTGGGAAGGCAATGAACACGCACAGTCATATGATGAATTGGTGAGTAATATGAATTTTTATCTTCAAAAACAGGTGTTTATTGTTATTTTGAAGTTAGATTTGCGAAATTAAAAACTAAAAGTATTATAAAATAGTTAAATTTCCTATATTGAGTTGTATACGAAAATAGTCGTGAAAATGTGATGGAGAATCGTGAAAAATATTTAAGTGATGTTTCATTGATAATAACTTAGTTTTTCAGTATTTTGTAGAAAATCTGATATATCATGGCACTGATGCATAGATCTCGTAATGTATGACGCAGTTGTCCTTTTCCTTCTTATGACGAAATAGTCATTCGTAGTTTTCCGTCTCGCTCTAACATACGACAGCATCCGATCTCTCCTGCTATTGGCTCGTTGCCGGTTCGTAGACGTTGTCGTCATTCGATAATGGATGACGAAATTACGGCGCGACTATTTAAAAATTTGGACGCTTTATTTTTCTATTTTACATTTGACTCGTTTAATTATCAGAAATGGAACCGATTTTTTAATCGTTAGTTAAAAGTTATCAACAATCAGATTATCCGAAAATTTATTTGCCACCATAGTGGCGCCATTTCGGATAAGGTGAAATATTTGGCAGATTTTCATAACAGGGAAGTAAATTTTATGGAAAAGTATAAAGTTAAATGTTTTTTTTTTGTAATATTAGTTGAATATAATTAATATTATTCATTAGATTAAACATGGATAAACCACTATGTATATTTTAAAACATAGAGTTAAAAACATGTAAGAAATTTAAAAATGCAACACTATACACACTAAAATGCAACTTTCCAATGATAATAGCATTGTGTGACTATCTAGGTAATATATAATTTCAACTTAGTCACAACTGGTTATTTTTGGTGAGTGTAGGAATAGCCCTCATTAAATTATTAACCAATTGAATATGAATGTTAAACAGTTGAACATTTTTATTCATTCAACTGTCATTTTAAATTTGTTGATGTTGTATTTTCATTTTATTCCATGTTTAGCTTTTATTTGACAATTGAAAATTCGGCCATTATTATGCTAATAATATAATAAACCTCTCCATAAAAGTGCTGTTGTTGAGCTAAGAGTTAAGTTTACGTGGTATCGGTATTACGTGGTGGGTTGGCCTGACTTATTCGTACTACAACCATAATGTAGCTGCAGTGTGGATCTACCACATATAAAATTTAAAAAAACATTACTATCATCCTCGTAGTGTCGTTGAAACTTACTTTTCAAATGAGATCAACGACATTGATTCATACTGTAATAATAACATAAAAATAACATACAACTGTCATTTTAAATTTGTTGATGTTGTATTTTAATTTTATTCCATGTTTAAATTTTATCTGACAATTGAAAATTAGGCCATTATTATGCTAAAAAATACACCTCTACATAAAAGTACTGGAAAGTAATATTTGCTTTTTATAGAGTAAGAATTACAAACGAGCACATAGTCCAACTGATGGTAGATGCTGTGGCCCATAGATATCTACATTTATCCTCGATTAAAATTCAAAATACAAGTGAATTGTCATGAGAACTAAGATGAAATGCCTCATTTCCAGTAAAAAGTGTCTGCGGTTCTCTACACTCACCATACGAAACAGCAGCATTATGCTGCTATTTTATGCTGGTAGTCTGTGGGTGCACGGTCCTACTCCGATCAAGCAGACCTATTCATGCTACAACCATAATATAGCTGCAGCATAGCTCTACCATGTTAAAGAAAAGTCTAAGCGGCACCTGACTTTTTACCTTAGTGTTAACACCACTGAAATAATTGTCACATATTATGTATCTTATATATTAAAATCTCGTGTCACAGTGCTTGTGGACGTACTGCTCCAGAATGGCTCGACCAATTTTTATTAATTATTTATATGTATTTGGTAGATATGAAAATAGGCCCTAAAGAATATTTAGACCCAGTAGGTGGTGCTGTTGTCGAGATCCAGAAATCACCCGTACAAAGCCAGGGCGAACCGCTAGTTTTTATTATATTACTTAAAGTTTTTTATATGTGGTAGAGCCATGCTGCAGTTATATTAGTAGTACAGTTGTAGCACGAGTGGGTCGGCCCGACCGAGGAAGAACCACGCTCTCACAGAACACCAGCGTAAAATAGTAGCTTAATAAGGCATTCCATCTTAGTCATCACGGGTGACAACGCATCTGCTTTTTGATTCGTAATCCAGGATAGATGTAGATGTCTATGGGCTACAGCAACCAGTAACCATCAGGTGGACTGTGTGCTCGTTTGTCACCCTATCCTATAATAAATGAATAGTTTAAAAAACACGCTTTTATAAATGCAAGTAAAAACAAAATATAAATTGTGGATCGTTCAAGTTGTCTCTATTTCTGGGCTGAAGTGTAAACTATGTGCTTTTAATTATAATATTTGATTTTAAAATCGTGCGTTTTCTTAGAAATCCAAAACAACTATGATACGATTTTCCATCATGAAGTCCCAGTACATATCTTCCGGCTCCATCATCAGATCAGTTCGACAGTACCATATTATTGTATCAGAACTACATACAGCTGCCAATTTTCATTACCCCACGACCCTTGGAAGATGGTTAAATTAGTTACCTTAGATTCCATTACATAGTTACATACAGGTCGATCTAATAAAAGCGTGTAATAAAGACCATTAATTTTATGAATTTTTCGTTTTACCTAAATGAACTAAGCTTTACGTATAAAATATAGCCTAAATGACTCCTGAATCCCACTATCTGTTCGTGAAGTTTCATTACAATTAGTTCAGCCATACTATAATACACAATAGAATGGCTGTTAACCTTATTTTGTACGAGGCTTGGCGTCGCCGGGAGCACGCATACAAGCAATTACGTCGTATTATCACTCGTACAAACCCAATTCGCTGTGTTGACAGACTGAGTAAATTTACACATTTTAGACTTTAATGTTCAATATCATCATTAAAAAAATCGTTTAAATTTTAATACATATTGATTTGTAAATAGTGTGCAATTTGGTATTTTCTAAATAATTTGCTTGCGAAATTTGGAAACGATGGTAACGTCAAAACACATCTCGTGTTGACATTTATATGTGTAAATTGACATGTTAGTGACATTTTAGTGGCTACACGGGCTCCGCCCACTCCCCCGTCCTAATATGTATGTATATAGTATTCTATGAGTTTAGCCATTCCGAAGGATAGCCCGGATAAACAAGTTTTAAAAATTATTATTCATTTCTAAAAGGCATTCAAATAAACCCTTCAATTCAAGAAAAAGCAGTTATTTCAGCATTACAAAGATACTATTAGATTTTATTTTGTATGTATGCTGGATGATTTTTTTATCATCTGGAAAAAATAGGGTGAACACTGGAAGCCTATGAGCACTGATATTTTACAATTTTTTTTACATTAATATAATATATATTATGAAATTAATCTATCAATAAATACTACTAATTTGAAATAAACTTTAGGTACTAAAAAAAATAAAAACAAAAATTATGAACTAAATAAATAAATCAATTAAAAACTATCGAAATCAAAATAATACGCACCAAATTTAATTTTCTGTAACATGGGCTTGAAGTTGTTAAATACCAGAGTATCTTTAATGAAAAATATTATAGGGAATAGTGTTTATCTTTTGCCGAATATTATCTATTCTTCTATGAATTCGTCGCTTAAGCTGCAAAGAGGTGAACCTCAATTTTTAAAAACATTACAGGAGAGCAAGAAAATATTTATTTTTGTCCGATTACTGGTTTTTTCATCAGAAAGTTTAAAATACTGTAAAATGGGGTGGACAGAAGTCGTGGGTTGAATAGAAAGAAGTCTGGTTATTTGATTAGGTTGTCTCAAGGTTTTTCTACAGATCGGGAACGTGTATTTACTTCTACTCTTTACTATATGATAGCATTTTCCTTTTTTTTGCCAATCTTGAAAAACCTAAGCTAAACTAGTATAGGATTGTTTTTCAATACTAGTAATCCACCTCTGCTTCGCACAGATGGTTTCTGAAACTCGACCACAGTATCACTAACCGGCTTCAATTGTGAATTTAAACCATCCAGGGGACACACAAACACACAAAAAATTTCATCAAGATCAGTCTAGCCGTTCTCAAGCGATGATCTTTCATACGGTGGCAATATATTTTTAATTATAGATTACAAAAGTTACTATTAAGTTGTTTAAGCTTTACCACTGGTTCAGAAAAACAAACTTCTGTTTTTTACTTATTACTTATTTACTGGAGACAAAGCAGAAACAAAAGATATAAGAAAAAAAAATCATTCAAAGTAAAATAAACAGTGGTAATCACAATTGGTACCTACAAACTATCTCGCTGAGAACATACATATCTATATTATAAATCAGATTGTAATTTGGTATCGTCTGCAAAACAATGATCTGAAAACTAAAATGTATAATACTAAAAATATCCTTATATATCTAATTCATAATTGTTACTAAAATACTTTTTTTAATTTAGTTTTGAGGACTGAAGAGGAGATAGAGAATATATTGAAGTTGTTAAGCATTTTATTGTGGAGGACACACATTCTGTGTACTGGTGCTCTTTTAGCAATGTTGGTCCTGGTTTCGGTATATGAAATAAATTTTTTGATCATGTGTTTTTTGGTGGTATTCGACGCTTTACCTCGGACAATAATTGTGGACACTTAATCTCACCAACACAGACTTTCCTAAAAGTGGTTGCGTCTATGGAGTGTACAGGTTAGGAGTACTGACTCTGTATAAAAAAGTGTCCGTAGGAAAGCGCTAAATAGGTGGCGCCACTGTAGCTACAGTATAAATTTTAAAGTAATTTTGATAATTTTTTATTGCACAGACTCACCATAATTCTTTGTAAAATAATTGTATTGTATTGCTTTCAAAGTTTTTATTTTCAAAATAACTCATAGTATTTTTCGGCGATTTATCATACCCTGTAGCTACTCGAGCCCTGTAGTAGAGAGTTATTGAACTATTATTTACTGCTTACAGAAGGACACATTTTCAACTATTCTCCTATGGGAGATTGTCCTCCTTACTTCTATACTCCATGGTGGCGTCGAATAAAAAGCGTCGGTCTTTTAATGACAGCATTTGATATTTTGTTAAAAGATTTTCAAACGAAATTTTTATTTTACTTTATTTCATTTAAGGCAATTAAAGCCTTTATAAATGTTTACTTCTACAGGCAGCTCAGTACAGCGACGTATCATGGCGAAGGCTCGCAACTGTGTGCGAGCGAGCGCTACAGTTGGCCAGCTACAACGGTGCCATCTACAACACTGCCAACACCACTGCCAACAGCGCTATCACCAACAGTGCCAACACCAGCACGAGTAACAGTAGCAACAGCGTGGTCAGTGTCAGCACGAGTCCCGTCGCCACCAGTTGCAATACGAGCAATGATCACCAGTGGCTGCAGTTGCGAGCTCGGCTTTCTCTGCTCAGCGAGTCGCTGGTTCGGCCCAAGCCCAAATACTCTGTGTACAAGCAGGATCATACACTCGGTGAGTAAATCACTACTTAAAGATGTTAAAAAATAATTAGCTACGGTCTGCATCATAAAATAAAATGATATGTCTTACCCATAGACTTATTATACTACTGCCTATTGTTAGATAAATGATCATTATGCAATATTACATAGCAATATTCACAATTAATATTAATATGAATCTATTTCAAACTACCTTCATTAATTCTAGAATTGAGTCACAATATAAAAGCGCGTACACTTGACGCTCGCGGCAGTTGATTACGAACAGTGGTACTGAGGAGGTTATAATAGTCAAGTCTATTGTGAAATAAGGTGATTCTAAAGGTTGTGAGTAAAATTAAATTAATATATAGTCTTCTTTGTGAAAGTAAAGTATATTGTGTTATAAAGTATTATATAAAATTTAAGAGTGAAGTTAAACAACGAACATAGTAGTTAAACAGTTAACTAAGTGAGTTGTGGTTTTATTGGAGAAAAGCTGACACTAGGACCGGGTCATTGAACAAACAAAATGGCACCGACTCCTTGGTGCGAAAATGTTTATGGAGCACCAACGCGAACACTAATGCGTGCCGTGCGTCCGTACAGTGTTTCCATTTTTAGATATTTTGCACTATTTTAGGGTATATCTACTAATATAGGTAGGGCTTTAGGATAATATGGGGTAAAACTGAACTTCAGGTAACCCTGTTTTTTTATACCCATGTATTTTTTTAAAGATTTATCGAAGGGGAGCTATAAAAGTTAGAATGATCATTCTGTATATTGGAATAATGGTATAACATTTTACTTAGTTATATATTTGTTATTCATATGAGACTAAGTGTTATTATAATTTGAAAATGAGAATGTCTTCATCAGAAAATTCAAGATTTTTTATTGTGAAATGATATGCAAATCTTGCAATGATGTTGTTCTTTAAAATATTGAAAATTAGGTGCGATAAATAAGGCTATTTTTTTAAATGTAATTTAGGAAGTATTTCTATATGTTCTAGGGTAAAACCAAAATCATAAGGGAAAACACTAGTTCCATGGTAGTTCATGAGTATTTAAGAGATGGCGCTGATATATTCTATGCTTAAACCTTAAACAATTTTTATTCAGACGGCCTTATCATTTCGATGGTCTTAACCTAATTGTTTCTACTAATCTCACCACTACAAATAACAAAGACACGACACGTGTTTCTAACCTAAACGAGGCATACTCAGGTGAAGTATAGATACGATCCACACCATCTGGATGCTTGGCGGTCCACCACGGTACGTTAATACGTTTCAGTTAACGAGTTAACGAGTTTTCTTCCGCGTACGACCTCTATGTTTCTTCTTTTTTCGGACTGATACGACCTGGGGACCTTCAAGAAAAGAGCTTACTCCTTTCTAAAAGACCAGCAACGCACCCGCAATTTCCCTGGTGTTGCGGATGTTCATGTGCGACGGTAGTCACTTACCATTAGGTGAACCGTATGCTAGTTTGCCCCCTCTTCTATAAAAAAAAGACTCTACGGTGGTTGACCGCTAAGTAAACCATTGTAATGTGGGGAGATTCGGGGAATAAATGATAATACGTCTAGTGGTCTTGACTGTAGGTTTATTACTCTCTCTTATTCTATCCTACTTATATATAAGCACACACTACACCATTACTAGTGTATCATTCTCATGTGTTAGCAGAGGATAAGGAAGAGAGAGTGTCATTTGTTTATTTATTATATGGACAATGGTTTGGTCATGTGGAAAGAATGAATGAGGAAAGAGTGCCAAAGCAAATTTATGTGGCAGATGTGAACGGCAGAGTCCGGAAGGGACGCCCTAGAAGAAAGTTTATCGACCAAATTGCCGATACCCTTAACCGACGAGCATGCATCGTGCCTAATTGAAGTCCGTAGTCTCTGCCTATCCCTCTGGGTGACAGGCGTGAGTTTGGGCGTGTTTCTGTTATGTATGTTATATGGTTAAATTACTTCGAAAAAGCACATATAACAAAAACTCTGTGGTTCCCGTTAAGTTCGTTATCAGAATCAGTATTCAAATTTTAGAAAATAATTTTTAACTTCCCGCTAAGAAAATTGAAAATCTTCAAAAATCGGGAAGTTGTTGTATTTACCCCGTTTTTCGAAAATTGAGTTTTCATCAAATCTTGAAGTTTTGTAGTCACAGGAAGCCACTCTGACAATTTTCGATAGTGTCTGTTTGTCTGTTTGTATGTGTGTATGGATGTATGTAAACCTCATAACTTTTGAACGGCTTGACCGATTGAAATGAACTAAGCGGATTTCCAAGTGTTTCATCAAATTTAGACCTCCTTTGAATTTTAACTAATTTGGACCGGTAGATTTAGAATCTCAAAAATATTAATATTGAAAAACTGTTTTTTTTTGGAATAACTTTTAAACGGCTGATCCGATGGGCCGATCGATTCCAAAAACTAATCAGCTTTTAACCTTAAAAAACACGTCGATCGCCGCCGTTTCGGTCAAAATTGGTCGATTCTTTCGTGAGATATCGTTAACGAATTTTTTTTTCAAAATTGATTTTTTTAAATTACTACGACATTTTATATTCAACGTCATAATTTAGCGAAATTTGGAGCGCTTTGTATTTGAAATTAGCAGGAAGTTACAGGGATGGCCCCGCCGGCACCAATGAAATTGTTAATTGCAATTTTGAGTGCGATTTACCACGTGCTCGGCGGTGAAGGAAAACATCGTGAGGAAACCTGCATGTCAGAGGAAAAAGAAAAAAAAATATTTTGAAGACGTGTGAAGTTCGCCAACACGCACTGGGGCAGCGCGGCGGACACTTCTTGGCCTGAAACCCTCTCAGAAATGAGGGGAGGCCTGTGCCCAGCAGTGGGACTTATATAGGCTGTAACTTTACTTTTTTTTACTTTACAGGGATGGGTTGCAGGGTCAACCAACTTTTTTCCCAGAAAATTCGACCATTAAAAAATTAAATTTAACTAAAATAAATTATTATTTGGAAATTGTACGTGGTTTTTTTTACCTCTTAACTGACACGAGCATCGGTAAAGCGGGATCTATGACAATCCTCTTACTCCCTGGATAGTGCAATACAATTTGCAAATTATTTTTTTTGAATTTAAGTTAAATTCTGATAAGTCACTTAAAGGGAACCACAGGGTTTTTGTGACATATTGTATAACAAGTCATGAAAATTGAATTTAGATTTAAATAATTAATTATAATATTTTCATAATATGAACATTTTAAAATTTTTATTTACATGCTATGCAATATTGTCAATGAAACAAAACTGCACTATATAAATTGTGACACCTTTTTATGCCATGATTCTTGCAAATAAACATTTATGATTTATTGTTATGCTAAATATGTTGACACATCAATTTTATTATATTTATTACAGGAGAGATCAACTATTCCTTAGACAATATACATATATGACATACTTAATTACATTGTAATGTTGGGACAATGTAAGAAATTAAACTCATTGATTTGAAGGAGCATTTACAGTATTTTTGTGACATAGGTACATAGGTAGGGGTTAGGGTTTGTGTTTCGTGATTCCAGGTTCCAGGCTAAAAATGCTTTAGCTACGCAAGATATAATTGTAACTGAGTATGTGGGAGAAATAAATGTTTATTATTATCATAATTTAAAACATTAAATTAATAAATTTAGGTTATCTGTAGTAATTTATATTTATAAGTGTATATTATTGTAATGTTTTCATATATAGGTTAAGATGAAAAACCTCGGTCTGTTGTCCGAGCATTAAGTTGTGTTTTATTCTAAATAAGATCACGAATATAACAATTATGTATACATATTTTTTGTTTCTCTGCTTAGCTCGTGACTGACTGGTAGAGAATGCTTGAAGACCACCAATTGTACAGTTAATGAGCGAAAAAGGTTAAATAAATAAAAAAAAAATTATTGTCTGATTGTAGTACGGAGGCTAGCATGTCGGGAGGTGGGTGGCATAGTGGGCCCACCAAGCAAGCCATTTCCAGCACGGATGCTGTCCGGCCTTCAGTTACAACGTCGGACACTGGGACATTTGTCCGCAGTATACTGCCTCGTGTTCGACCGCACCGGACGTTATGTTATTACTGTGAGTTCAATATTTAAAACACCATCCTTCCTGTTTCTTTAGTTTATACGTTCTAGAGCCATGCTGCAGTTATATTATGGTTGTACTACGAATGGGTCGGCTCGAACGGGAAAGGACTACGTCGTCAGAGAATACCAGCGTAAAATAGCAAGCTCAATGCTGATGTGTTTCGTATGGTGAGTGTAGAGAACCAGAGACCTTTTTTACTGGAAACGAGGCATTCCACCTTAGCCCTTAGGGGTGGCAACACATCTACATTTTGATTCTTAATCGATAATAGTCAGGTGCTCATTTTGCACCCTTATTCTGTATTTAAAAAAGTTTGCCTATTTTTTTATAGCAATAAAAATCACTTCCTGATGGTAAGTGGTTGTATTTTGATTAAGAATATAAATACAGATATGTTGTTACCCCTTAGAATTAAAATGGAATAGGTCATTATCTTCCTGATATTGACTCGAAATAATAAAAATCCAACCAAATCTACTGCTGAATATGGGCTTCCCTCCATATATTTTGCTATAGTTGCTAAGTTTGACAGATAGGCTGGCAACCACAGTTTTTTATAATTTTGAATTGTTAACCCGAAGTTGCCGCTGCTCACTTCGTTCAGTTTAACACGAAGTTGCCGCTGCCCTGTTAACACGAGTTGCTCACTTTTCAGTTTAACACGAAGTTGCCGCTGCTCACTTCGTTTCAGTTTCCAGTCCCTGCTCACTTCGTTTCTAACACGAATGTTGCCGCTGCTCACTTCGTTTCAGTTTAACACGAAGTTGCCGCTGCTCACTTCGTTTCAGTTTAACACGAAGTTGCCGCTGCTCACTTCGTTTCAGTTTAACACGAAGTTGCCGCTGCTCACTTCGTTTCAGTTTAACACGAAGTTGCCCTCTCACTTGCTGCTCACTTCGTTTCAGTTTCCCTCTGTCACCACACCCACAGGAGAATATGGGGTAGTGGATATTCTTACACCGCCTCTATGTGGATTCTAAGAGGCAATCTATGTAGAATCTTTATGTATAGTAGAAGATATATGGCTGTAATTGATGGATGTATAAAGCGATATTTTTTGTTTAAGAAACAAAAATGAAATTGTGAATGGAATACATTTTTAATTTGGGAGTACTAATTGATATTTTTGTCTGCATACGTTTTATGTGTAGGACTAAAATTTTAGTAAGTGTCTTTTAAAATTTTGGATCATGCATAGTGTGGTTATGGCAGAATCATCAGCGCTGTAAGTTATCCTGCATCATTACGCTGAGTCATAACCTTTTCACTGGCTCAACACATCCCATCACTTGTAATTTTAATCTGCCATATCTTTAATGCCTGGTTTACATTTTGAGAAGTGACGAGTACGAGTGGCAAGTGCAAATTGTCACTTCTCAAAATGTAAACCGGGCCTCACAGTTATCACTTGTCACTACCTGTTCACGCGCACTAAGCACTTGTCATTTGTTAGTTGCACTTGCCAGTCCCACTTCTCACGAACTGGAGAGGCCGTGCGCGTTAATTCCTAAACAAAACGTCTATCACTTGTATGGAGAGGCGAAGAAAGCACACCACTGTATATTTACTACAAATGCAAAATTGAATCGCATCACTATACACGCACACTACAGCATTCATTTTTGTGTTCATGAAGCTAGGAGACATTCAAGTCGGGACAGCTGCTTACTTTGGATAAAGTGCAAGTCTAATCGTGCATGGAGTATTGTTGGTTGCTGCCATATATAGGGCTGGTACTGTAAAATGCCATTTAGTAACTTTGAACTCAATGGAAAGACATGAAACTTCGGTAACCAGAATCTGGTTAAAACCTATATTCCTAGCCTCGGACACAGGCGTATTTGTATTTGGTGGCTTTTGTTATATCAGTGCGCTTCACCATCTTAGGTTACATCATTGTTTACCATCAGGTTGGATTGTACAGTGTAGTATATAAATCTTACCTTAGAATAGTAAAAAAAAAAAATAAGTGCGTTGCGTGATGTGTGATGTGGTGTTAGTGTGTGCATGACCTGCTGGTAGGAGGCTCTAGTGTATAGATCGATTAGGTTTTCAAGTGAGTGTTATGGTTGGTGTGATTTCAGGGTGCGGATGACCTGCTGGTGAAGGTGTGGAGTGCCCTGGACGGGCGGCTGCTGGCAACACTGCGGGGCGCGGGTGCGGAGATCACGGATGTATGCGTGTCTGCAGACTGCACGCTGCTGGCGTGCGGTTCCGTGGAGCGGCTGGTGCGCGTGTGGTGCCTGGCCACCGGGGCGCCGCGGGCCGTGCTCCATGCGCACGCCGGAACCATCACTTCCGTGAGTGCTGCGTGCTCTGTGCCGCCTGCTCTGTGCTCTGTGGTCTGTGTTACTGGCGTGTAATTGCCGTGTTGCCTTACCGCACAACGCTCTAATGTGTCAAGCCGATCAGAAACAGTTGTTGACGATTCGAACTGCTCTGCGCTGGATGCGTTCAATTTGTAGGGGCTATATAGTTACAGGTCCAGCAGGATATCCGCATCAGCAGTATGTTGTGAATGCAGGCCACATGTAGATATTGAGTAGACAAACGGAATTGCAGTTCCTGTGTGTGATCACACAGGAACTGCAATTCCGATAGCAATAAAAGCTATGCAATAGCTTAATTAGGAGATGTTTAATGGCTAACACAAAAAAACCTAAGACCCGAAAACCTAACATCGTCTAACGTCGTTTAAGTTCGGCAGACTTCGGCACGGTGTTTGTGTGCGTGCTACTAGACGTATGCGTGTAGACTAGTTGCATGTATTGTAAGATAATAAAAATATTTTATTATATTGCAAGAAGCATATTCTTTGGATTTACATGAGTCGTCGTCAAGCTAGCAAATTTCGTGAATTTAGAGTATTTAATAAACACAGACTTTATAGAAAATTATCGTTTGTCAGAAGAACTCGTTAATTACCATAAACCTATAGTTTCAATGATAAAAATTCCTGAATAACCTACGTCTATTGGAAGATAATAAAAATATTTTAAACAATATTAATTTCTCATTTATTCAATAAAAGAAAAAAAATATTGTTTTCTTATCGGTCACCACGCTCAATAAAATAAAGAAATAATTATAATTGCATAAGTTGATAAAAATGATATGCAATAGCTTTACCGCGGCAGTCCCCGAGTGCCACACGTATTTTTTTTATAAATTAGTATTTTTAAAACGTCTTTCCTTTGCATAACTTGACTACATAGTGTATAATGTGTGTGTGTGTGTGTGCAGGTGCACTGGGCGCCGCCTGGGCACGGCGACGTGCGCTGGCTCGCGTCCACGTCCACGGACGGCTCGGTCGCGTTCTGGACGTGCGCCAACGACGGCCAGTTCCTGTCCCGGCCGGTGCAGTTCGTGGAGCGCATGCGGCCCGGCGCGTGCCACATGATCTGCGCCGCCTGGTCTGCGGGCGGCGCCTTCCTGGCGGCCGGCAGTGCGGACCACCATGTGCGCGTGTACGCGCTGGATGCGACCGGGCCCCGCCGGGTACGTACACGTACACGCGCACATACTTACGCGCGATCAAGCATACGCACGTGAAGTGGATCGATAGCAAATCAAGAACTCGTGCTGGTTACATAAAATGTTTATTGCGCCACACGGTGAAAATACAAATTGACCGTTAGATTCTTCAAAGCGCGGGACGACTTAAACGTATGTATGTGCACACCAGCGGAGACTGCGGCGACGACTTAAACGTATGTATGTGCACACCAGCGGAGACTGCGGCGACGACTGACCGCCAAGAATGCTAGCGGGAATCGCTCACTCTTATCTACCTTAGGGATAATATTACAAATACATACAAGCTTACCTACACATATTTTATAAAATTTATAATAAATATTACATACAAAACAATGCGTCGCCAACAGCACGCATGTACACACACTGGTCTTCTCTATAATACTAGCGTGAAATAGCAAAATAATGCTCCTGTGTTTCGTATGGTTATGGTAGATAACTATTATAAACACATCAGCATTGACCTGGTATTTTATGAAAGTGTGATTCTATCCCAGCCGAGCTGACCTCATATATTAGACTAATAACGAGTCCTGATATAGCTGCAGCATGGCTCTTCCATACTAACGATTGAAACCTTATACAACAGTATAAAAAATGTTTTTGGCCCTTCGAGGAGCCGCTAAAATTTTAAATTAATTTGCAACGTTCGAACAGTGGTAGAGCCACACGGCAGCTTTACTGTTGCAAGTATGGGCCGGCTCAAACCGGGGTGGTACCACGACCTCACAGAATACCGGCGTGAAGTGGAACCTCTGCTTCTGCGTTTCGTCTGGTGAGTTAAGTAAAGATCTACCCCAGGTGGGTACCAGCATCCCCTGGAGAATCCTTCGCTGAGCTTCCACGACCAAGTTACTCCACTCCTGAGCGTTGGTGCTCAGTCTGCCCCGCGTATTTTGGGGGATGACGCTCACGCTGAAATCGCGGTTGCATTCTGCAGGCTGTTGCCGTGTTTGGCACTATAGATCAGCTGATTGGGATAGGATGCGGTCTTTCTTTGCATCGTATCCTTGGGGGCGGCTTTGTTTTTCGCCGGACGATCCCAACGTTGTTGCTGATTCTGTCGCTGATGTGGTATTTCAGGGTATGACACTTTTTATTCCTTCCTCTGTAATGCCCATCGGAGGGCAAATAACAGCCATGGTTTGGTCGCTCCTGTAAAATAGCATCATGCTATAAGCAGGAGTGCTACCGGGCCTGGGCTGACGCATCAACGTCCCGGGGTGTAAACACCAGCGCTCTAAAAAGGAAGTATAATTCCGCTTCCAGGTCCTTCAAAAGAGCACATAGGCAGTGTCGGCGAGAAACTAGTTCGCCTTCTTTCTGGAACACGTGCATTCTGGTCTCTCGCCAAGGCTGTCCAGGGGAATTTCTGTCAGTCATCTCTTCCATATCTGCACAGGGAGGACGACTCACTGGCCCATACCGCAAACGAGAAAGCCGATATGCTAGGCTCTTTTTTTGCGTCCAACTCGACTCTGGATGACGGGGGGAGTACGCCTCCGACCATCCCGCGGTGTGAGTGCTCCGTGCCGGAGGTCCGGTTCACACAGCGCTCGGTTCGCAAAGCACTCCTCTCCCTGGACATCCACAAGTCGAGTGGGCCTGACGGTATCACCGAGTACCGGCACAAACTTGTGTCTGAAGTCGAGTCTTTGCTGAACAGGGTCCCGAATTTGGGCGACTAAATCTAGTCCAGTTTAACCCTCAGAAGACACAAGTTTGCGCGTTAACCGCTAAAAAGGACCCCTTTGTCGTATCTCCTCAGTTTCAAGGCACTCCCCTTGATGCCTCAGCCAGTATCGGAATCCTCGGCGTCGACATATCGTGTGACGTGCAGTTTTGTGGTCACTTGAAAGAGAAGGCCAAATTGGCCTCTAAAAAAGCTTGGCGTGCTCAGCAGAGCGGGACAGTATTTCATGCCGGCACACCGCCTGCAACTTTACAAGGCGCAGGTTCGGCCGCACATGGAATACTGTTCCCATCTCTGGGCTGGGGCTCATCAGTGTCAGCTCCTTCCACTTGACCGTATCCAGCGCAGAGCGGCTCGATTCGTCGACGACAGAGTGCTTTCTGATCGGCTCGATTCACTGGCGCTTCGAAGAGATGTTGCATCTCTTTGCGTATTTTATCGCATCTATCACGGGGAGTCCTCTGAGGAATTGTTCGGATTAATCCAGCCAGCCGCTAAATTTCATGAACGCACATCGCAGCAAAACTCCCGATACCATCCACACCATCTGGATGCTTGGCGGTCCACTACTGTACGTTTCACTAGAAGTTTTCTTCCGCGTACCTCCTCGTCCTCTCTGTCGAATAGTTTACCACCGGCGATTTTTCCGGACCGATACGACCTGGAGACCTCAAGAAAAAAGCTTACTCCTTTCTAAAAGGCCGGCAACGCACCTGCAATTCCCCTGGTGTTGCGGATGTTCATGGTCGGCGGTAGTCACTTCATATCAGGTGAACCGTATGCTAGTTTGCCCCCTCTTCTATTAAAAAAAAAAACCATTAATAAGCAACACAAATGAGTTGTAATCCTGGTTGTGGTTGTGTATAGGTGCTGGAGCAGGCGGTGCATGGGGACGCGGTGGACTCGCTGGCCTGGGCGCACCGTGGCCTGCGCCTGGTGTCCGGCAGCAAGGACGGCAGCGCCGCGTTGTGGACGCTGCACGCCACGCAGTGGAGGCACGTGCTGCTGCAGGACCACGCCAAGCGCCTCAAGGTGAGCACCGCCGCCAGCCACACGCCAGCAGTGCGCGTGCTTCTGCACGTCACATGCTACTACAGGTCCACGCCTGGCGCTTCGAGGGGCCGTACCTACACGTGGGACAGTAAATTAACAAGTGCACAACAGCATACCCATGCAAAATGGAATAGTTCCTCTATTCTTTCATGTCCTTACAATAGGAGCAACATTTCCAAAAGTGAATTTCGTCGTTATGTATAAAAATATTATTAAAGATGGTGGGGCTTCTTCTATGCCAAAGAACGATGTATTTATTAATTACGTAAATATACTGTCGAGGCTAACCAGTCGGCGACCAGTGTAATCACTACACTTAATATAATTGCATACTATGCTGAGCACAGGCCACCCCTAATTTCTGAGAGGGTCTTAGGGCAAGGAAGTGTCCGCCGCGCTGCCCCAATGCGTGTTGGAGAACTGCACATGTCTTCGAAATATTATTTTTCTTTTATTTCTCAGACACGCAGGTTTCCTCACGATGTTTTCCTTCACCGCTGAGCACGTGGTAAATCAGCACTTAAAATTGCAATTCACAATTTCCTTGGTGCCGGAGGGTATCGAACCCGGGGTGCACGCGTACTGTGAAATTTACAGAGAGCGCTACTTACCATCCGAGCTACCAGATTTTAAAATATAATACAACATATAATACAATACAATATTATATAATACATCGGTTTTTAAAATACAATACATTACAGGTGACGATGGTGTGCTGGGACCGCAGCGACGCGTATGTAATGACCGCAGTCTCCGATAACACGGTCCGGGTGAGTGACACTATGTGAACACAATCATTTATTTATTCTTCAATACTTTATTATTTATACTATAATACGAGGCAGTAATATATATATTACCACCTCGTTGGTCTAGTGGCTGTAGTAGTGCGACTGCTGACCATGAGGTCCTGGGTTCGAGTCCCGGGTCGGGCCAAAAAATTAATTATTGAGTTTTTCCGTCTAGAAATTCTCAGTAGTGCTCGGAGTCAGGAAGTTGGCGATGTCTCACCCCCGTGCCTCGGAAAGCACGTAAAGCCGTTGGACCTGCGCCTGATCTCTCTCCGGTCTTGTTGGTTTACCGTCCCATCGGATTATGAGAGTGAGGGAATAGAGAGTGCGCCTGTGCCTGCGCATACGCTTGGGCACTATAATCCTGTCCTGCGCCGATGGCTAGCCTCCGTTGAGGCAGGCCGCCGTAATCGAAATTCGGTCTGGAGGACATTATTATTATTACTTTATTATTATACTGGCTGGACCCGCAGATGTTCTTCCGGTCTTTCCGATAGATGGCGCTGTATGTTTCTGAATAAACTGTGGGATCTTTTTACAATGTTATCATCATCATCATTACAACAGCCTTTCACAAGTCCACTGCTGAACAAAGGCCCTAATGAGGTGCCCCTAAGCATCCATCGACGTCCTGCATGTCTTACCAGGTCGTCATTACACCTAGTGGGGGGTTGCCCTACACTTCACCTACCGGTACGAGGCTGCTACTCGAGAACCTTTTTTCACCATTGGTTGTCGGTTCTTCGAGCTATATGGCCGGCCCATTGCCACATCAACTTACTAATCCGTTGGGCTATTTCGGTTACTCTGATTCTACTGCGGATATTGTCATTTCTAAGTTTATCACGTAGAGAAACCCCGAGCATAGCCCTCTCCATAGTTCGCTGAGCGACCTCAGCGTCCTCATACGGCCAGCAGTGAAGGATCATAAGTCATCACTGGCAACACACACTGGTTGTACAATCTATTTTTCAGGTTTTGAAATATAGGATTTATTAATAACTTGACCACACTGCCACCTATTGGATTTTGTGGTTTTCTTTTTTTGACGCTAAACTTAATAATTTTTATTATTAGGTTCATAAAACTGGACTTTAAACATTATGCAGTTGGATTATAACCAAAAGGCAGGCCTTCAGTTAGTTGAATATTGTTTATATAGTAAAAGCATTTTGCTGTATTAATTAGGTTTATTACTTAATTCACTTTACCTGACTTACATTTATTAGTTACTACGTTAAGGTCGCGTTGTAGTTGCAACATAGTTTAGTCATAGTGAATTTAACTATAAATTTTAAAATAATCTGGGAATATTTAAAACTGAGACGTACGTCTAGCCCATAAATGATTTACAAATAGTATAAAAACAAAGTCCGAGATGAGATCCCTGGGGTACACCTGTCGGCGCTGATCTTGAACATGATTTAGTCACGGACCAAAACCATTCAAGAATGATCTTAAGTATAGAATTGACACCACCGCAATTGTGCACCGAAGTTTCCGGTGTGGCTAAGTTTTTGTATTAGTAATCCATGGTTAATCACATCAAATGCTTTGGAAAAATCAGCACCAAAAGCGTGAACCTCACGTCTGTCAGCTTTTGTGATGTCACTCTAGAAAATCAATTTGACGGATCCTTGATACAGTTGGCTCAGCAGTGAATTGAATCGATAAAGGCCGCGGTTTCGAATTCCGCACGAGAATGGGATAGAATATTTATTATTCCTTTCAAGATTGACTAAATTAGGTGGGTTGAGGTACCGTGAACTATGCCGCGATGTCGTAATGTCGTAGCATCGCGGTGGCTCGATGATGAATTGCTGACTTACTTATACCACCAGGAATGTTCATGTACTTTAAGTATAGTGCGTGGTTGTGTGCAGGTGTGGTGCGCGCGCACTTGTCGGCAAGTGCGAGTGCTACGTGGTCACCGCGACGAGGCGTACGTGTTGGAGCCGCACCCACAGCTGCCTGGCGTGCTGCTGTCTGCAGGGCATGACGGACAGCTGTTCGTGTGGGATGCGCACACGGGAGAGGTGAACACGTACACACGCACACTACACGCACACGTTCATAAATATTCACATTCACATCACCATGCAGTCACAACTATTTTATCTTTAATATGTAGGGAAACAAGAAAACGTATATTGGTATATTGTTGATATATCCGGCTCGAAGGACCTAAATAAAAAAAATTCATATCTTGATAGTTTGGGTTCCAATGTGTGAAAAGCAGGATGTCAGATACACACGACTCGTCGTTTATGATGGCTACACAATATCAAGCGTCATGCTAGCTCATGGTATAAGCGTTATTGAATATTAAAATTTTCATGTGCTTGAAGAAAAGTAAAATGTTTAGTAGAATCAGATGTTACTTTGCAGAAATTTTAAGTGTTAAAACTTAATTACTAAAGATTCACGTAAAAAAAATTATGTGTCTCACCTACTTTGTGGATCATAGTGGTGAAGAGTGTAGTATGTGGACGCAGTGGGTTAGAGGACGGGAGGTGCTTTTTACACTAGACATCAAGAAAAACATGTAACAAATAACAGCTTAACGCTGTTGTGTGTCGTATTGTGAGTGTAGACGTCCGGTGACCCTTTTTACTGGACACGATACTTGTATCTCAGTCCTCAGGGGTGATAACGCATCTGCATTTTAATTTTTAGTTGAGGATAAAGTAGACGTCTATGAGCCACAGCATCCACTTACCATTAGGTGAGCTATGTGGTTTTTTTTCGCCCTTATCTTATTAAAAAAAATTAATACGCGGATCTTGGCTAATTATTTTTTAATATCTTTAATTAAAAACATTTATATAAATTTAGACCAGGAGACCAGCATATGGAAGGGGCATCTGTACCAAGCATGACAAGGGGTATCTGTACCGAAAACTTTGTGGTGAGAAATAAGATAGTTATATTTCGAATTCTTCATTTATTGTTAACACTGCAAACTCCCAAAGAGTTTTCATGTGGACAATTTTACGGGTTTAAATGATTTGAGGTTATACACTTGCATGATTCTAAGCATCGCGATTCAAGTATATAAATAATTTGTACAGCGCCATCTTTGGAGAAAAAAGCAAACTTTATTTATTTACATGTGTCGGCAAAGCCATGCCAAGCCAAGCGACTTAGAGACCGGGTGGCGTGTTGCAGGTGCTGGCGCAGTTCCAGAACCGCATCGAGGGCCAGGGCGACGGCGCGCTGTTCGACGCCAAGTGGGGCGGCGCGGGCTCCGTGGCCGCGTCCGACTCGCACGGGCACCTGCTGCTGCTGGGCCTAGGCGCAGGGCACCGCCTGCTGCGCCAGCTGCCGCCGGAGCTCTTCTTCCACACGGACTACCGCCCGCTGGGTCAGTCCTGTATTTGTGACCGTTCAAGTATTGATTCGTCGCATGAACCGGGTTAATCGGGTCGATCATTCAAATGTATAACTTCAGGGTTTTAGTACTATACTATAGTTCGTGCCAAATCGATTGAGAAAAACGGACAATGACCTCAGATATGAGCCGAGTGTCAAAAGGCGTAACTTATAAAATCTCAATTCAGATGTGATAACAATTTGTAAATATTGATATTATTCACATTTCTAGGTCAGCACATATGTTTTTTTTGTTTCTTTAATAATATTGTCTGTGGTTCCTATAAACATCGTAAAATCTTACGGTACATCGCAAAAATGTGTTATATTTTATATTTCAATTTATGGTAAGCAGCAATTCATTTTATAACAGTTTCATATTTAAAAAAATATTTGAATCAATATAATCACCATATTGAGCATTTGCAAATTCATCTCTTTAAAATAAACAAAACGCGCGTTACGTCAGTTCGCTCTAAAAGAAACGTGACAATGGCAGCCAGAGATGCGTCACTTTTTTGGGCCGGTCCGCATACACCGAATAAAAATAAAGTTCTTATATAATATTGAAAATAAAGTTTTATCTTTTGAATAAGTACGTACTTATTCGGTGTCGTTATCACTCTAATCTTTATGTGTTATAAATTAATGCTTTTTGTTAAATGAATAAAGTACTTTATAACAATGGATGATTTTTCTTCTACAGCGATCTTTTACATAACTTTTTAATAATAGGTAATAAATAAATACTATATCAATCATTATAAAAGAAATATAAAAAATACAAATAAAGAAAGTACTACATATAAAAAGTGCCTATATATTTAAGGTTTGTAGCCCCTGGTTAAACCGAAAGGTCAATGTCCATTTTTCTCAATCGATTTGGCACGAACTATAATGTTAAATACTCGTTGCCCGCAGTGATATAATGGGCAAACAAGACGTTGCTTGTTGCGTTCTCTGTCGTACGCTGTTGATTTGTGTGATCCGCACGCTTCTGTCGATCATCGATCATTACTCTATAATCTTTGGTTGGTCGCGACTCGCTAGCGCAGATTTTTTTTAATAGTATATGTGTGACAAACAAGCATACAGTCCATTTGATGGTAAGTGAATTCTGTGGCCCATTGACATCTACATCTATCCTCGATTAACAAGCAAATGCGTTGTCACCCCTGGGGACTTAAGATGGAGTACCTCATTTCCAGTACAAAAGGTCTCCAGTTCGATGCACTCTCCATAAGAAACACGGCAGCATTAAGCTGCTATTTCACGCTGGTATTCTGTGGGAGTGTGGTCCTTCTCCGGTCTAACCGACACGTTCGTGCACACAATCTTGCATTCCAGCTGGTTCATCTAACTTCTAATAAGAACCCACAACGAATATTACCGCACTTTTAAACAGATCACGAGTACATATTTACCACGTAGTGGTTTAAAACAGACAGGCCTATGATATACAATGATATTGTTGCGCGCCTAAGTTGATGTCTGGTACCTGGCACTAGCGCCGTCTAGTGTCGGGGAACGGAGCGAGGAGGGCTTCCTAAAAATGCCAATCTTGAACTTTCCACCAACAGCACCATCTAGTATCGAACAGAAGAATTAAGCTTTCTAGAAGGGTCCAGTCTCGAACTTTCTGAACTTAGTCGGGACCCGTATTTGCTGGAATATTCTAAATGTTTCGGTAGAAGAAACCTATATAAAGTCGTTGATAGCCGCGATCGGGGCAGTATTGAATTGGCGATACAGGCGAAGCTTCGGAGCGAAATAAAGTGAACTAAAGTGATCAGTGTGATTAATTATTAGTGATTTTTTTTAAGTTTTAATTGGTGTTCGGTAAATAAAGTGTTAATTTTGGTATTTCAATCGGCAGTTTTACTGTCACGAACCCTAAGCTCGTAACAATATTCTTGACGAAGATTGTGTACAGACTGTTTTAAAAATACTACTAAATTAAAAACGCATAATTTAAAACACAAGATTTATCAGTTTCTACGTATTTGTTGTTAGGTACTGCTTATTTCTAGAGGTACAGTTATAAAAAATTAAGATTATATCATCATCATCATTACAGCCCTTCACAAGTCCACTGCTGAACATAGGCCTCCCCGAAGGTATGCCACAAAGCACGGTCCTGAGCCACCTGCATCCTTCGACTTCCTGCATATCTTACCAGGTCCTCACTCCATCTAGTGGGGGTTAGCCCTACACTTCGCCTACCGGTACGAGGCTGCCAATCGAGAACCTTTTTTCCCCAACGGTTATCGGTTCTTCGAGCTAGCTCACTGAGCATACATAGCATAGCTCACTGAGCGACTTTGAGCGTCCTCATACGGCCAGCAGTGAAGGACCACTTCTCGATTCCGTAGGTCATCACTGGCAACACGCACTGGTTGTACAACTTGGTTTTCAGGTTTTGAGGTATACCTGACAAGAAGATGTGTCATAATTTTCCGAACGCCCAGCCGAATTGAATCCGTCGATTGACCTCTCGGTCAGTTAAGATTATAACTAAATTAAAAAGAAATTTATTCAATCACTTTCAATACAACTAGTTAGCTATCGTTGTTTGATTTTCAATAATGCAGTCAAAATTAATGTCTATTTCAAAGTCAAAGTCATCGATAATAATGTTTTTTGTTTTTTCTACCACTTTTGCCCAATAATCCTTTGTGAAATGGACACATGCTTCGACGAATACTGAAGAAAAAGTCCAAAAAGTTAAAGCCGAGACACAAATTAAGAAGGCAAACACAAAATCACAAAATTACGCACAGTAAGCTCCAGTAATGGCGGGATATAGAAATTACGTAGTGGTTTTTATATCGCGGCCTTGTATATGAGTTTTTTTGCCTACACAAATTTACGTTGACAAATTAAAAAAAATAAACTTGTTTTATTCATGATTCATGTAATTTAAGGAATTTTAGAAATAAAAATTAAATTAAACAAATAATACATTAAAAATTTAATTATTTTTGCCTATTATTCGCATAACAATTAATTTTAATCATCCAAACACTACGGTAATGTACATAGCGACATATCATGGAAAAGACGTCAAGTAATTAATTTTAATCATCCAAACACTACGGTTATGTACATAGCGACATATCATGGAAAAGACGTCAAGTACAAAAAGTTGATACTAGTTATTTTTTAAGATTTTGCTTTGTTTGAAAGATTCAAATTTAAATTAGTGATAAAAACTATACACGTTATTATGAAATATAGATAACTTATTTCTTCGGATTCACGTAAATGGTTATTTTAAATCGTGTGAGTACGTTTGTGAAAAGTTATTGCTGAATGATTAATGTGAAATCAAAAAGAATTTCTTAGATTTGGTTGACTATAGTTATTAGTTTTTAAAAATCAAGTCCGTAAGTAGGTGATTAAATCGTTGCAAGTTTGAACTAACACAGCTCTTTTTTTCGTATATATATTTCATATTTGTTCTAATATAGATAATATTTATACGTACTTATTGTATATATATATATATATATATATATATATATATATATGTGTGTGTGTATATTGTATTATATATATGTATTATTATTATTATTTTCCTCTATATTTGATTAATGCTCCACCTTCTCCAAAATGTCTATCTCTGTTTAGTCTAATGGTTGACTAGGAGAGAATGCCCTATGGCATTAACTTCGCTATATGTACTACTTTGTGCATGAAAGAATAAATAAATAAATATTCGGTTAAAGCTGCGTACACAGTAGCTAGTTGTTGGTGCAACACTCTCAGTCGTGCGCAACGCTAGCATAGCATGAGCGCGAAAAATAACAACACAAGACGAACGCGAGGCGTCACGCTGGCGCGTCTGACGTGCGCGTTATGCGCTGTGCGCAGTCTGCAATATAGACCATATTGTCTATGGTCTAGTAAGCATGAAAATTATAGTCCGTTCGCATTAAGAAAATAGTGAGTCATCAGTGCAACTACAGGGTAAAGATGTATTCACAGTGGAGTAAAAATTCTTTTTTTTTTTCAAACATTTAATTAAGTTAAATGGAAACAAATTTTCTTAAAATTACTTATATCACTAATCAGTATCGCTAGATTCTCCAGTTACATTAATTATGAAAGAATTTTGTTCTGCAAGTTCCATGATGTCATCCAAATTCCACATGGTATTTTCATCGCGTATCACGTGGTCGCAGCACTTCTTCCAACGATTAGCGTCTATTAATGCAATTGCGTTATCTAATATTTTTTTATGTCACTCATTTTGAACGTGGAGTTATTGGTACCAACATAATTTTTTATTTGGGCCCAAACCAATTCAATTGGATTTAGTTTGCAATGGTAAGGCGGTAGGCGAAGAATTGTAATGCCATTACTTTTGGCAGTCTCATCTATTAAATATTTATTATATTGTGGGGCGATTTCGGTTGTTCGAAGGCCTGACTTCAACTGGTCACTGTGAATTCGACTTTCTAATTTCTTGCATTTTAATTGGCTGGGGGGCATGGCCAGGCCGACGGACAACGATGACTCACTATTTTCTTAACGCGAACGGACTATATATGCATAATATTATTTTTCAACTCTTGTGTGTATTGACGTATTCCATCATAGTCAGTCTACGATATTCACCAAACTGATGCCTGTTTTAGTTTAAATTATGAACTCCTATTTTAATTTGCGTTATTCTTGTGCAAAAACTACTCCCTTCTAGTAATTTTTTGGCCTGCGCAAAAATAGCAGGAAAAAACCACATGTCAGGCAGCTGCCTTAACGTGGCATACTACTGTGGGAAAACGTAGCGTCTTCACTCCTCCCGCCTCCGCAGGTCGCCTCCGCTGTCCGCAGTCGCTTTGGCGTGCCCAACACCTTCTGTGTAGTGGTTTAGGACTTATAGTGATATAGTTGCTAAGGCTGCGTACGCACTTGGACCACGTGGTAGTTTAGGACTTATAGTAATATAGTTGGTTATGGCTGCGTGCACACTTGGACTACGTGGTTGTTTAGGACTTATAGTAATATAGTTGGCTAAGGCTGCAATCACACTTGGACTACGTGGTTGTTTAGGACTTATAGTAATATAGTTGGCTAAGGCTGCATTCACACTTGGAGTACGTGGTGGTTTAGGACTTATAGTAATATATTTGGCCAAGGCTTTAGTACACTTTAGGACTTTTTAGGACTTACAGTAATATATTTGGCAAGGGCTGCGTGTAGGGACACAATATAGGTATATATAATATACTGGCTCTTTAGATCGCGTGTCCGGTGTCCTACATCATATCCGTACTTATTTAAGTATAACAGCTATATGTATGTGTAATGTATACCTATAATAGTTATAAGAGTGAAATATATCCCCGTTTACACGACACGTGTCTTAATTTATTGCAACCTTAATTGTAAACCTTAATGGACTTAAATAAATTAATTAATTAAATACAGTATTCATAAAAGTGTACACTGCGTACACACTTGGACTACGTGGTGGTTTAGGACATAATAATGATATGCTGCTTTACACACTGTAACTACGTAGCTACGGGTACTAGGTGTACAGTGAGAGTCACAGATTGTGTGCACGCAGTTCGCGACGCGCTGGGCGGCGCGCTGGACGAGCAGACGCAAGCACCGCCGCACTTGATGCCGCCGCCCTTCCTCGTGGACGTGGAGGGCGCCCCGCACCCGCCCGCCTTACAGAGGCTGGTGCCGGGCCGCGAGCGCCTGGCACTGCGCCCGATACTACCCGCCGGCACCACCGCCAGCGACAGCACCCCGCCGGTCAGTATACACACAGTACACACACAGTGCGCCCGCCCTGCAGCGGCTGGTGCCGGGCCGCGAGCGCCTGGCGCTGCGCCCTATACTACCCGCCGGCACCACTGCCAGCGACAGCACCCTGCCGGTCAGTATACACACAGTGCGCCCGCCCTGCAGCGGCTGGTGCCGGGCCGCGAGCGCCTGGCGCTGCGCCCGATACTACCCGCCGGCACCACCGCCAGCGCCAGCACCCCGCCGGTCAGTATACACACAGTACACACACAGTGCGCCCGCCCTGCAGCGGCTGGTGCCGGGCCGCGCGCGCCTGGCGCTGCGCCCTATACTACCCGCCGGCACCACCGCCAGCGGCAGAACCCCACCGGTCAGTACTTCAAACATAATTGCACCCTATACGTATACGTAATAGAGCTATGCTGCAGCTATATTTGTACTATACTTGTAGCGCGGATGGCTCGGCTCGAAGGACCACGCTCTGACAAAGTATCAGCGTCAAATAACAGCTTAATGCTGCTATGTTTTCATATGGTGAGTGTAGAGAACCGGAGTCCATTTATATTGGAAACGAGGCGTTCTATCTTAGTCCCCGCGAGTAACAACGCATCTGCATTTTGATTCGTATTCGAAGTTAAATCTTTATGTCTATGTCCTGCAGTAATCACTTATCATCAGGTGTGCTCAGTTGTCACCCTATGCTATAAAAAATTATAAGTCCCACTGCTGGGTAAGGGCCTCCGTATCCGCCGTGCCACCCCGATGCGTGTTGGTAAACTACTACATGTCTTCGAAATATTCTTTTTCTTATTTCTCTGACTTGCAGGTTTCCTCACGATGTTTTCCTTCACCGCCAAACCATTGTAGAAGTATTTACACATCCTTAATACTTACTCTACTACTACTACTACTACATCCTTTGCAGCATCACCTCCGTAGCGAAACTTCTGCTACACTATGCTATATAATTAAATTATACTATAGAGTACGTTTCCGGTGAGAATAATGCCAAACACTCCTAAACTCTTGATACCATCTCCCAAAAGTGGAAAAGTTTTTTTTATAGAATCAGGCTGACAAACGAGCACACAGTCCACGTAATGTTAAGTGGATGATGTGGCCCATATACTTTATTTATCTTCGATTAAGAATCAAAACTTGTCGCCCCTGAGGACTAAGATGGAATGCCTCGTTTCCAATAAAAAAGGGTCTTCGGTTGTAAACACTCACCATACGAAATACAGCAGCATTAAGCCGACCTATTCGTGCTACAACTATAATATAGCTGCAGCGTGGCTCTAACACGTGTTGTCATTTTTACACATAGTATACTATAATACACAATAGAATGGCTATCAACCTTATTTTGTACGAAGATCGGTGTCGTCGGGAGCACACATACATGCAATTACGTCATATTATCGCTACTACAAACCCGATTCGCTGTATTGATAAACTTGAGTAAATTTACACGTTTTAGACTTTCTTTTTTTTAGATTTTTGATTAATGTTTTTGACACAGTAATATTTCTTTATTTTTGTTTCTAATATTCACAAAATATAAATAATTTCGACTTACTGGTTGTAGAATATGACTCCTTTATTTTTTACATTCCATTTCCCGCTGTTCTTTCGACATGTAATTATTGCACAATTCGCATTTTTTTAAATAATAATTTGCAAACGTGACGCTTGATACGTAAATTAGAAACGATTGATTGTGTTGACATTTATAGGTGTGAATTGACATGTTAGTGGCATGTTAGTGGCTACACGGGCTCCGCCCTCTCCCTCTTTCAATTATACAATATATAACTTAATTAACGCACACCCTCAGACACCCCAATTAGTATATTATGTTATAATCATAATACATACACTGAATTTTTAGTTAAACATTTTTATGCACTGATTATTTATCAAATTAGTTATACTAATTCCGGAAAAATGTTGTGGTAACAGTACAAATCCACGAACGAAAAGACTTTAAGGTGCTTGAAATAAAGTTCATTTTTCTTTATTTTTATTGAATGACACTATTAGTAATAACTAATAATACAAATAAAACTGCACTCTTAAAAGTCTTATTGTCTTAAGTTACGGTTCATTTCAGTTTCTTTTGACTGTACAGATTTAATGTGACTGTAATTTACGTAGTTTTAATTATTTTTGGGATAAAAAAATTACCTATATTAAAAATGATAGGAATCGATTAAGTAAACGATTCTGAACAAACTACTTTCTCAAAGTGCGTTTATTATGTTACGTGTTGTATATGTATTACAGTATTCTATGTTTTTACACATGTTATGTTGTCCTTTTTTTCTAAAGTAGCCAAAATGTATATAAAGTTGATCAAGGTTTTGGCGAAATCATCTTTAAAGATAATTCCATTACAACCTATAAAAATCCACTACGAAACATAAACGTCCCCGGTAGATTGCCTCACAGGGGATATTTTGCCATAGTGGACACGCTTGCCGAACGGATTGTCGACCGCAGTTTCTTATTATTTTTACTTGTTATCAGTAAGATTCTTGTGCCCGTCACTTGTTTCAATTTCCCTCTCTACCTCTTACGACACGCATGGGACGATTTGCAGTAGTGGATATTCTCACACCGCCACTACACGGATAACTTAATGTTCACTTTCAAAGCCAACTGGCAGCAAACATCGCCTATGTTTATGTATCCCAACGAAAGGATCATCTGGATGAATCGACTACCGTCGACCATTTTTCTACACCAATAAGAGTTAGGGACCTTCAAGAAAAGAGCCTATTCTTTTTTAAACGCCGGCAATGCACCTGCTATTAACCTAGTGTTGTAGTTGTTCATTGACGGTGGTCGACACTTGCCATCAGGTGAGCCGCATGCTCGTTTTCCCCCTATACTATAAAAAACCACATATCAATATGTAAAATTTGTTCACCCACTGCGGTCCCTGTGCCCACAGGCGGGTGGTGGCAGTGGTGGGGGCGGTCCGTGGCGCGGAGAGGGCGTGCGGCACACGGCGGGCTCGTGGCAGCGCGCCGACGAGCTGCTTGCCGCGCCTGCCAGCCGTCCCATCGTGCCACCGCTGCCGCCTGCTGCGCGCCAACGTCTCGAACAGGCCAGGTATGTACACCCCCCCCCCCCACACACAAACAAACAAACGCACGCACGCACGCACATACGTTCACGTATACGAACATATACACGCACGCACGTATACAAACATTCACGTGCACACGCATGCGCGCACATGCACATGTATGCATGCAAATACAAGAATTAAAATTATTACGAATAAATGATATTAACAGTTATTTTGCAACCCTCCGCTAAATTAAATAAAATGATGTGTCTTCCCTAGTTTGAAGAGCTCTTCACATCACATAACTATTAATATCATTTGTTATAATGGATTTCCGCAAAGTAACGCCTGATTATATCAATTATTACGAAGTTAAAGTTTATATCGTACATTCACTCGAACAATATCAACTTTAACTCAAGATTATAACTTTTTAAGTTAAACACTAAATATATTTAGTTTTAGAAGCAAAGTGGAATGATATAAGTATACTAGTCACTAGGTCACTAGTTGTGTGTAGTGATCCACTTTTAGGAAGAGCAAAAATTTGGAACTAAAATAAAAAAAGTTATTTCCTGATCTGAAAACTAAACACTTGGAGCTACAATCTGCTTTTTTCTGTACGACCATTTTCCTTGGAGTTAAAGCTTCTTCAAAATCACCCAAAAGTTTAGAATTTTTTTATACCCCTTAACTTTTGTAACAACTGTAAGTTGTCAAATGCATTATCAAAATCAAGGCACTCGATCTGTATTGTAATTTTAGATTTATTAAATTATAATTTAAAAGATTAGTGTTTTTTTGTTTCTTAATGAAAAAAGGTTTACTTTCAGTATATCTGGCGAAAGGTTTTTAGTATAAGTTCATCATCATCATCATCACAGCCCTTCACAAGTCCACTGCTGAACATAGGCCTCCCCCAAGTAATGCCACAAAGCACGGTCCTGAGCCACCTGCATCCATCGACTTCCTGCATATCTTACCAGGTCGTCACTCCATCTAGTGGGGGGTCGCCCTACACTACGCCTACCGGTACGAGGCTGCCACTCGAGAACCTTTCTTCCCCATCGGTTATCGGTTCTTCGAGCTATATGGCCGGCCCATTGCCACTTCAGCTTACTAATCCGTTGGGCTATGTCGGTCACTCTGGTTTTACTGCGGATATCCTCATTTCTGAGTCTATCACGCAGAGAAACTCCGAGCATAGCCCTCTCCATAGCTCGCTGAGCGACCTTGAGCGTCCTCATACGGCCAGCAGTGAAGGACCACGTCTCTGATCCGTAAGTCATCACTGGCAACACGCACTGGTTGTACACTTTAGTTTTCAGAGATTGAGGTATACCTGACGAGAAGATATGTCGTAATTTCCCGAACGCTGCCCAGCCGAGTTGAATCCGTCGATTGACCTCTCGGTCGAAGTTGGACTTACCTAGTCGGAATATTTGTCCCAGGTAAACGTACTCGTCAATAACTTCGAGCATAGTGCTCCCAACAACTACCGGCATAGGTGTGACATGGACATTAAACATAATCTTTGTTTTGTCCATGTTCATCTTAAGACCTATCCGTTGGGAGGCACTATTGAGGTCATTGAGCATAGTGCTTAAGTCCTCCAGCGATTCTGCCATAAGGACTATATCGTCGGCAAATCGAAGGTGAGTGATGTACTCGCCATTGATGTTAATACCGTATCCTTTCCAGTCCAGTAGCTTGAAAACGTCTTCCAAAGCAGCGGTGAAGAGTTTCGGGGATATAACGTCACCCTGTCTTACACCTCTCTGCAGTTGGATAGGTTTCGAGCTCTGGTTCTGTACTCGGATAGCCATCGTAGCCCTACTGTACAAACACTTCAGCACTTCGATATACCGACAGTCCACTTGGCACCGCTGAAGGGACTGCAGCACCGCCCAAATTTCGACGGAATCAAAGGCTTTCTCATAGTCCACATACGCCAGGCAAAGTGGCAAATTGTACTCTTCAGTCTTCTGTACAATCTGCCGCAGGGTATGTATGTGGTCTATGGTACTGAAGCCTTTTCGGAAACCGGCTTGTTCGGGAGGCTGGAAGTCGTCGAGTCTGCGTGCGAGACGATTCGTAATGACTCTCGAAAACAGCACGTAGACGCGGCTCAGAAGGGAAATCGGTCTGTAGTTCTTCAAGAGAGCGTTGTCGCCTTTCTTAAAGAACAAGACCACCGCACTTCTGCTCCACGCCTCTGGAGTAGTGCCACCATGGAGGACGGAATTGAAGAGCTTCTGAAGGACTTCAAGTACCGGTGTTCCACCCGCTTTCAGAAGCTCCGCTGTAATTCCATCCTCGCCTGGGGCCCTGCGGTTTTTAAGGTGCTGGAGAGCCATTCTAATCTCGCTTAGACTGACGTCCGGGATATCATCGGAAAAACACTTCCTTGGGACTGATGGTCGCCCTCCCGGTGATAGAACAAGTTGCCGGATTCGAGAATCACCGTGTCCTCCCCCTCTCTTCGGACCTCGGATAATCCTATAATACTCCAGCGCAACTTGTCTATCTCTTCTTCCAGCTCCAGGATCTTCTCGTCAGTCCTCAGTGTGCGTGTGTTAAATGTTGCCAGGTCGAGTCGTCGTAGGTGGCAACCGAACCTCCACCGGAGATTCTTAGCACCCCCTGCCCCGCCGTTACCATGGTCGCCACCGTAGCCAGGAATAGCGGGGCCGCCGGGGACTGGGGGCCGTCTATTTGTGTAATTGTTCATGGGGGGTATATTGCCATAGTTGCCACGCTTGGCGAGCGCGTTGGCAACCGCAGTTTTTTTTTGTCGTACAGTTGCTGTTGTCAGGAAGATGCTGCTGCCCATCTCCTGCCTGTCTCCCTCTGTCGCCTCTTACGACACCCACGGGAAGATATGGGGTAGTGGATATTCTTAACCGCCACTACACGGCTTAGTATAAGTTACTGAATAAAATTATTTTGAAGGACCTTATATAGAATATTGTAAATTGTTAATTGTCGTATGTTTTATTAATTTTTTGTATAACATTGAATAGATTGTATGTGAATTGCTGGATAGGAAAGACATACCCTCGACGATAATTTGACACGTGTTTCGTCTCAAAACGATGCCTTATTTGAAGTAGACTTTGCCGTGACTGATGGCTGATAATAAATAAATATAACCTTATTGCCATATTCGAAGAAAACATTTACAGATGAATACTTAATAAAATTTATCAATAGGACTTTTGACAGCCGTGGTAGCTCAAATGGTTAGCGCTCGTTGTAAATCTCACAGTACGCGAGCAATCCGGGTTCGATCCTCAACGGCACCAATGAAATTGTTATTTGCAATTTTAAATGCTGATTTAACACGTGCTCGGCGGTGAAGGAAAACATCGTGACAAAAGAGAAATAAAAAAATATTTTGAAGACACGTGAAGTTCGCCATTGGGGCAGCGCGGCGGACACTTACTTGCCCTAGAACACTCCCAAAAATGAGAGAAGATCGCCCAGCAGTGGAACGTATATAGGCTGTTACTTGTAACTGACAGCTTTTGCTTAAGGACTAAGAAGATCTTATGAAGCGCTGGCTTTTAGCGACTCCTTCCCTGAGATGTTACATGGGTTTAATATTGAAATTTTATATAGGTTGTGTAATTTTATAATTCTTGCATTACAGTTTGTCTGGTTATTAGTGTTTTTTCGGGTTGTGTACATGGATGCTGTGTACTGACGATCTAAGAGAATTTATTTTATTTATTTATTTATTTAATCCTTATTATACACTTTATACCAAGGGATATAAAGGGCGAACTTAATGCCTTATGGCATTCTCTGCCAGTCAACTCTGGATGATTTGAGAAACTGTGGCAGGTGTAATCAATCACTTCATAAATAAATAATAAGGATATAAAACAAAATAAAATGCAAATGAATAGAATATATTATGTAGTTAGTAAAATATACATACTTACTTAATACCTAATATATAATATAGGATAAATAATAAATATATAAACGGGTACTCCTATACAAAATCTATAAGTAAATAAATTTACTGCTTCTCTTACGTCGTCTGTACACGACGATGTGTGGTGTGGTGTGTGTGTGTGTAGTGCGGAGATGAACGCGTGCGAGTGGGCGTGGTACCGGCGCGAGATGAGACGGCGGCCGCTCATGATCAGCACCGCGCCCGACGCGCCGCGTCGAGCCGGTCGTCGACCCCGCGCCGCGCCCCGCCCCCAGCCCCGCCCCACGCCACGCCCACAACCAGTAAGTCATTCGTTTATTTGTGCATTCGTACTCTTTTGTGGTTAAATGAACTTTATTAGTCGCGCCCACAGCCCTTGAGTTATTGAGTTTCATCCCTCAGTTCATTCATTGACAGATTCATTTGTACAGTCATCATATTTTGTAATTAAAGAATCTTTATTAACTATACAGCCCGTGACTCATTGATTGGTAGATTCATTCATTAATTTGCTACACTCTTGTATGGTTAAAGAAACTTTAGCTACGCCCCACACCCCACGCGCAGTCGATGAGTTGCTCATTCGTTCATTTGTACACACATACATTCATTTGTACCCTCATTATATTTTGTGGGTCGAAAAACTTTACTAGCAATATTCCATAAGTATTACATTTGTTCATTCGTTGATTCATTCATTCATTCGTTCGTTCATCCATTCATTCGTTCGTTCATCCATCTATTCGCTCATTTCTTCATTCATTTATTCATTAATTCGTTCATTCATTCATTTGTACACTCATACTATTTTGTGATTAAGACCACACATCGAAAACGCTATCGCCGTACTGATCCGAGTGAATACATAATTTCTATAAAAACTTGAAGAAACGCCGTCATAAGGTCTAAAATTGCGTAGCGCCCGCGACGATTAAAAGCGCTTAGAAATTGTCAGAATCTTAAAATATTTTTTTTAAAAATTATTGATTTAAGTTATCAAAATAATGAGCAAGTAAATTATGAATATTGATGTTATGAATATATTTGAGTGATTTCCAAGCATATGGATCAAATGATTTCGTTGTAATTTCAACTATAGTGATCTTTTAGAGCTGTTTTCGCAAATAATTATGATCGAGTCAAAATTATACAATCGTGTTTTTGAGCAATCAAATTCAAGATAAAGGCATGAATTTACCTATATCAAAATCCCACTTTCGTAAGTGGTGTCATAGTCCTATACTATTCAATGAAACGAGGTGCATTTTTTCACGGTGTCGCCTTAAAGTTAGCCACAACCCGCGATTCATTCATACATCATACACTTTATAAGCTACGTCCACAGCCGGTAAGTCATTACTTTACACACCATCAGTGCAGGACAGGATTATAGTGCCCAAGTGTATGCGCAAGCACAGGTGCACTCTATTGATTCACTCTCATAGTCCGAGAGAGAGACAGGACCAACGGCTTTACGTGTTTTCCGAGGCACGGAGGTGAGACACTTCAAAAAGAGAATTTCTTGACGGAAAAGTCAATATTTTGTTTTATTGTACCCGTGATTCGAATCCGAACCTCATGATCAATAGTCGCGTTTACAACCACTAGACCAGCGTGTCTTTGAAGAAACTGTCAGCTACAGCCTGTGAATCAATCATTAATTCGTTCGTTCATTCGTTCCTACATTCATTTGTACACTCAATACTCTTTTGTGGTTAAAGAAACTGTTAGCCGCACCCACAGCTCGTAAGTCATCCCTTTCGCATGTATTCTTTCAATCCATTCATTGTTATTTAAATTTCTGATTAATGTTATATTGATTCTATTGTTTGTTATATTTAAACTTGTTTATTTGTATTAAGTCATTTTTTGTGCATGTTATAAAATTTGTGATAAAGTAAAATGTTATAAAGTTTGGCAGATTGTAAAACTGTAGTAGGGTAAATTTATATTATGTTAAATAAATAAATTAAACAAAATATTCATTTGTCCACTTATCTTTTGTAATTAAAGAAACTTTATTTTTTCTCAATAGTAGCGGATAACTCATATAACGGATTTTAACGTCGATGAACAATGTGATCTAATGAGATCTTACACAACTTTTTAGCGGCGTCACGTAAATTAAAAATGAAATTAGAAAAGTGTAAAGATTAATTTTAAAACAAGTAAAATAAGTTCTTACTGTAGGTTTACTGATCCAACTCCCCCTCTCAACAGACGATCCGCGTCGAGGAGGAACCCCCGGAGGAGAGTTCGAGCGACACGTCGGACGAGAGCGTGCGCCTCTCAGCCTCCGCTCACTCCGCTCACTCCTCCCACTCCTCCCGCTCCTCCCGTTCCTCCCGCTCCTCGCGATCGTACGGCTCCTCGCGATCCAGGCGCTCCAGCGACGACCTCTCCGAATCTGACAGGTGAGGCATGCCACCGTCTTCATTAATAACGGACTTTAGCACCACTGACAGAAGGAATCCTGTTAATACACTACGACGTATGTATTTCTGACTACTTAAAGAGCATTACTTGTCTCAGTCGTTTGAACATCGTTAGAATAAATTAAGTAAATATGTATCTATTGTATTTATCTGCTTTATATTATTGTTTGAGGAATTTTGTTATTTATATATATATATATATATATATATATATTTGGGTAAATATGTAAGTTCGTTTATATATTAATATATATGTATATATAATTATATATATGTTTAACTTTATTTTTATTATATTGTAGCAATTTATATGATTTCATGTATTAGTTATTTGTATGTTATTTTATTGCATGTATTGTATATAAATCGCGTGTATTAATATTATATTATGTATATTTATATTGCATCACCTACTTAGTTTTCACTGTTCTAATCCTTACACCTTTGGTTGCGTGGAAGAGATCGCTATCGCTAAGGCCGCCAAATTGTACTTACATAACACTCAGGCACGGAAACTTGGCCAAGCGGTTATCTCGCGATAGCAAAAGCTTTAAGTGTTTCTGATGAATGTTTGTTATGCAAGTATGTCAAAAAATGTTTACCCTCAAGTTCAAGAGGGTAATTCATTATGTTTAAGTGCACCATGACGAATTCTTTAATTTTTAGTTGAATCGGGTCATTTGAGCGACTAAGTACACATTTTAAATTTGTGTGTTGTGAACAGTTTACTGTAAGGTTATTCAATTATTGTGATCTTGTGTCTTAATTAAATAACTAAAGGTGCTTTAAAGCCAATAAAAATGCCATTAACACCAGCACAAGTTGCACAAGCAGTAGCATTAATTGACCAAGGGCTGACACAGCGTGAAGTTGCTATTGTGCTTAACGTACCACGGTCCTCAATGCAGTATTCACTGAAACGATACCAGGAGACAGGCCGCTACACCCGCAGGCCAGGCAGTGGGGGCGTAAGGTGCACATCGGCCCGGGACGATCGTTTTATTGTTATGGAGATTTTGAGAAACCGCTACCTGACCGCTGTTGAGATACGCCAGCGGCTCCAAATCGCAAGAGGCGTTAATGTTAGTGAGCGTACGGTGAGAAGACGAATGGAGGAAGTGAATTTAAAAGCTCGTAGACCAGCACGAGGTCCAGAACTTCTCAGACAGCACCGAGTAGCCCGACTTCAGTTCGCAAGAGAACATGTCAATTGGACCCACGAGCAATGGGCTAGAGTGTTGTTCACAGATGAGTGTCGAATAGCTTTACGTGCTCCAGACGGTCGAGAACGAGTGTGGAGAAAAAAGAGGAGAGAGGTTTCTACCCATTACCACCACCCAAACTGTGAGTTTCCAGGAGGCTCAATAATGGTATGGGGAGGTGTAAGTTCCGACGCACGTACAGAGTTGGTCATCGTCGATAATCGGCTTACAGCTACTCGATACATCGAGGAAGTTCTTCAGGAGCACGTAATGCCTTATTCGGGATTCATTGGACACGACCAATTCCTCCTCATGCACGATAATGCACGCCCGCACGTCGCACATTGTGTAGAGGAATATCTGGAAGAGGTTGGAATACAAAAATTACAGTGGCCAGCTCGTAGCCCGGACTTAAATCCAATTGAGCATGTATGGGGTATGCTCAAAAGAAAGATAAAGTCCAGCTCCAAACCGCCACAAACTCTAAATGAGCTCCGAAATGCAGCCCTGGCCGCTTGGGACAGCATACCGCTTTGATGTCAGAAACATCATTCAAAGCATGCCAGATCGAATGCAAGCGGTTATCAGGGCTAGAGGAGGAAACACCCGATATTAAAACTGATAGACAATAAAGAAACAGACTTAATTTTTAACTTTGTAGTGTTTTTAAAGTGACAATGGAAAGATGTTAATTTTAGTGAAAACATGTTATCTTGAAAAGAAAAATTTCGGTGAAGTAAACATTAAATTTCTATGTTCTAAAACCATTAGAGACACTTATTGAATGCATCTACCCTTAATTTACTGTTAAAAAAACGTTTCAGTGCAAATAATCAGCAAATTCACGAGTGGCCAAGTTTCCGTGCCGGTGAGGTATTATAATCTGCTTTTTGTTTTGTTATCTGTATATTTGTTTGTGGTGTACAATAAAAGTATATTCATTTATTCATACTTGTACGGTGAACGTAAACGCTAATATTTCTGTACTTACACGTATACGTGTATATTTGGCTGGTATGCTTGCAGCCCTCGGCATTTCAAGTCTGTTAAGGTTATTCAAGTTTTTTTTTAATTCGTTATCTCCCACACTGTGATTTCCTCCTGTATCCTGGGTGCAATTGACATACATAAATTTAACAAAAACTAAAATCCAGACTGAACAATTATTTGTAGGCCATACAAATGATTGTTTTGTGCGGGATATGAATCCGCGACCCCTAGCGCTGTAACTCATTGCTATACCACTGCGCCACAAATTATTCTCAATAAACAAATATATACATAATTTTTTTCTTCATCAAGTACTTATGTAACATAATGTTGTCTACAATTGTAAACTGTGCATTAATTTGGTACTTCGAGCCGGAAGAAATTTATTGAAAAAAAAAATTACATTTATTTTTGTAAATATATGCGGTTTTATGTTTTGTTCATTCTTAAAAAAACAAGTAATATCAATTTTCTAAAAATGAAAAGTTTAATAAAATAGAATATTCTTACTGCCGAAGCTAAGAGTTTAAAATCATTATATGATACGATGTAAATGAAAGTAAAATTTCAAGTTGTAAGTAATGGAAATTGATTCAGAAATTTATTGCCTTAGCTCGCACTCTGGCAATAGGACTGACAAGTGAGTAATCAACTATTATTACATAGACACGCTCCCTTTTTCTGTCATGCATTCACCTCTCGGTGGGTCATGTGCTCCTGATAGATTATCTTCTATACTACCATCCATTACAGCCTACTAAAATCCACTGCGGAACAGAGGCCTCCCCCATTGATTGCCTTATAGGGGGGATATTTTATTTCTGTTGATTTAATAATTTCACCTCTCAGTGGGTCATGTGCTCCTGGTAAATTATCTTCTATGCAACCATCCATTACAGCCTAAAAATCCACTGCGGAACATAGGCCTCCCCCATAGATTGCCTTATAGGGGGGATATTTTATTTCTGTTGATTTAATAATTTCACCTCTCTGTGGGTCATGTGCTCCTGGTAGATTATCTTCTATGCAACCATCCATTACAGCCTAAAAATCCACTGCGGAACATAGGCCTCCCCATAGATTGCCTTATAGGGGGGATATTTTATTTCTGTTGATTTAATAATTTCACCTCTCAGTGGGTCATGTGCTCCTGGTAGATTATCTTCTATGCAACCATCCATTACAGCCTAAAAATCCACTGCGGAACATAGGCCTCCCCCATAGATTGCCTTATAGGGGGGGATATTTTATTTCTGTTGATTTAATAATTTCACCTCTCAGTGGGCCATGCGCTCCTGGTAGATTATCTTCTATGCAACCATCCATTATATACATCCATTACATTACATTATATAGATCCACTGCTGATCATAGGCCTCCGCCAAAGATTTCCTTTTATGCCAAATTACGCCATAGTTGTCAAGCTTGACAGGCGTGTTTGCAACCGCAGTTTTTTATAATTTTAAGTTGTTATCAGGAAGATGCAGCTGCTTATTCGCATTTTTGGTTTCTCTCTGTCGCCTCTTACGACATCCGCGGCACGATAAGTTCTAGAGAGATTATGATAACATGTCACCCAAACATTGGGCGGTGCTATAGTAAGTTTTATGAGTAAGTTTGAACGTGGTAGAGCCACGCTCCAGCTATACTATGGTTGTGGCACAAGCGAGTCGGCTTGACCGGGGAAGGACCACGCTCTCACAGAATACCAGTGTGAAAAGGCTGCTTATTGTTGTCGTGTTTCGTATAATGTAGTGTAGAGGACCGGGATCCTTAAAACTGGAGATGAGACATTCTTATTTCTTCTTATGTTAGTCCTCAGGGGTGACAACGTATCTGTATTTGGATTTTTAATCGAGGGTAAATATAGGTATGTATAGGCCACAATATCTACTTACCATTAATCAGATGGATTGAGTGTTTGGTGTCACTCACATTTTCACAAAAGCTCCAGAGAGATCTCGATCGCATGCTTCCATGCCATCCAAACATTGGGTGGTTGGTGGGTAGTAAAGGTTGTCGTGAGTGTGTTGAGAGTGTTGTGTTGAGAGTTGTTGAAACGTGGTTATGTTGTGTAGCTCGGCGTCGTCGCAGTACTCGGACTGGCAAGGGGGGCAGAGCGGGCCCGCGCTCGCGCCGCCCGTGCGCCTGCGCCGCCGCCCGCAGCCCGTCGCCAGGTACACACGCACACGTGCAAGTACACGCACGCTCAAGTATACGTACACGTACATGTACGCGCACACGTACATGTACACGCACACGTACATGTACACGCACACGTGCATGTACACTTCGCATTACTCGGACTGGCAAGGTGGATAGAGTAGGCCCGCGCTGCCGTCCGCAGGCCGTCGCCAGGTACAGCCACGCATACGCACACATACATGCACAATACGCACACGTATACGTACATGTACTCGCACACGTTTACGCACACGTATACGTATACGTACACACGTACTAGTAGTATACGCATACTCAATTGTCGCCCATATGGCTCACCACACTGCAGTCGATTTGCATATCCCTGCTTCTTTACTTACTTACTTACAATTTTAAGTTCTAATTTATCACGCGGATTTCCGTATATCTTGTAACGCCATCGAAGATTATTCTTTTGATTTAGTCTACGAATTAAATTGCGGTCAAACCATGGTGGGTAACGCCCTTTTTTCTCAAAACATTTATAAGGCACAAATTTACTTATAGTTTCCCATAAAACATCGTAGAAGACCCTAACCATTTCATTTACATCTGTTAGATGTTTAGACATTTCAGCCCAGTGCAGTTTTGATAAGTGATCTTTGATTGAGTCGTAGTCAGCTTTGTAGAAGCAAAATTTTTTTGTGTTGGTATTATATGAAAGCTTTTTATCTATGTTTAGGGAAAGTATATCTATATCCAGAGGGGGATGCTGTTTATCAATTTTGCTGAGGACATTGGTTGATTTAGAAACTGTGCACATCTGAATATCGGTCAGAACTAAATCCAAAATAACATTTTTATTGTTGGTGATGTTGTTTCATTGGGAAATGTTATGTAAACTTACAAAGTCAACCAGGTTCTTAGGCAAACCAGGTGCCACATAACTATTGCAATTTTAAAAAATATCAACAGGCCTAGTTTGAACTGATCAGTTGGAATGATCAGTTGAACTGACCGTGTGTTGCGTCCATTATAATTAATTTTAGTTTAGTATATTTACGAAATATTAGTCGACCCCGCGGTCGCGGGATTCAATTAAATAAATTTGATTTAAATGTTTATGTTCATATTAATCTTTAATGCTAAAAATATAAACTTTAGGTAAATAGGTTTGATAAAAAATATAAACTTTAAGTATATAAAATAAGCGCCCGATTATCCGATGATATAATTTCTATATTAGCAACACCAAAACCCTACAATATCAAATTCACTTACTTTTTTGTAAGTGTAAATATTCTTATATACAATTAAAAAGATATTCTAAATCTAAAGTCTATCGTTTTAGTCCTTCGAGATGGATACAGAAACAGAATACTATCAAAAAATTAATGAAATGAATGTTGTTACATGAAAAAACCACTACCGCTGAATTAAGAATATTATAAGTACAAAGATAAAAATAGATTTAAGATTGTATATATTTTTAATTATATTTTATATGAAATGTGCGGAACCGAATTTGTAATCTAATGTTGACATTTTTAAAATGGCAGGCCTATTCGCTGACTTTGTTGGCATTAAAAACGATAATTAAATTTGTAGTCCATTGCGTGTATTCTACAAAGATTTTTTTATAAGAAGTAAGAACTATTACGGCTTATAAAACATACGACGTAATGTACTACAAAGTTAGCGAATAGATGTGCAGAATTTAAGAGTATAAGAATATTTTATACTTCAACATCAACTCGCACACATCAACAGATATAGTCCCAGTACGACGACGACATCTAAACGTGGCGCGGCGAGTGCCACTTCGAGCGGGGCTGGTGGCGGGGCGTCGAGCGGGACGGGGAGCGGGGCGGCGGGCGGGGAGGCGAGCGGGGAGGGGGCCGAGGGGGCTGAGGCGTACCGCGTGAGCGAGTGGCTGACGGCCGTGTCGCCGCGCAAGGCGCCCTACCAGCCGCAGATGGGTGACCACGTCATGTACTTTCGGCTGGTCAGCGTTGTTTACACTTCTATTACAAAACGTTTCTTATTTATTTTTATGTTATTAAGCAAATATTTTTTTTTAAATAAATCCAACGTAATCTAGCACAGGTTAACCGAATTTACACTAAAATACGAATTTTGAAAAACTCACGTGGGGAGGGGGTGTCACTAGGGGCGTGGAAAGAGGGTAGATAAATTGCCTCACGTAATTGATGGACGCCTCTTTATGTAGAACCAATAGTATAAACAATAGTAATAAATAACATGTTTAATTACAAGAAGCCAATAAGAGGTTTTCACTATTATAAATATCGTATTATGTTACGATACTTGATCGTTTAAAGGGCATATCACAGATACTGGGATTAAAAATAAAGTCCTAATTAAAATGTACGATATGCACATATTTAATAAGTAAATCAAATTATAATAACAAAAGGAAAAGAAAACCAGGAACTATACGCACTACAAATTTTTTTTTTCATTAATAAGGACACAAATCTTATACGTGGTAGAGCCATGCTGCAGCTATATTATGGTTGTAGCACGAATGGGTCGGCTCGACCGGGGAAAGACCACGCTATTATAGAATACCAGCGTCAAATAGCAGCGTAATGCTGCCTTGTTTCGTATGGTGGGTGTCTTCCTAATAACGACTAAAAATAAAAATAAACTGTGGTTGTTAACATGATTGCCAAGTGTGACGACTATGGAAAACATTCCATGGGAGAGGCTTGTTATCAACAGTGAACTTTAATAGGCTCTAACGGTAAACAAATTGTCGTAAGGTAAGACACTTGTCCCATGCGAAAAGTGATCTCGAAAAGTAATCTATTTTCATTTGTTTCCAGGGTCACCAGCGCTACTTCGAGGCCGTTGCGGAGAAGGATCTTTACAAAGTGAACCCTAGAGATAAGCCGTGGGAGAGGATGCATATCTACGTAAGTGTAACTAATAACTATAGTTCTCGAATAACGTCATATAAAAATGTACTCTTTGAAAAATACAGGGTTAAATAATGATATACCGTTAATGCAGTTTTTGGAAATACGAGTATATGAGACTTCTACTTTTATTTTAAATTATCCCAAATTGAATGTGATTTATGGGTAACAACGTTTGCCTACCAATCGACCCTGACAAATGTGTGCGTGCGCAGTAAAATCAGTTAAAATAATGCATTACCACGTATTTTGAATGTAAAAGATGAAAAGGACAGAATATTTGTAATTTTTTTAAATTAGTTCTTCACCATCTGCCTATATTACTTGCTCTGAACCTTTTCTGCAAATTTGGTCGATTATTGCAAAATAACTCTGTATATTTACTTCTTGTCATCCTTTTCTCTCTCTCTCTCTCAAGCCAGTAGTTATTTTAACTTAAAGTTAGGATCCACGAGATGATGTAGGTGACGCGCTTTGTTCTTATACCTCATTTTAATCAACTCCAATATTTTCTAGTATAGTGTCCAAACTTTCACCATTGAACGACAGATAAATGTACGGACTGCATAACTAAAGATCGTGAGTTCTAATTCGCCACCAGACTGTTGCTAATTACTAGTTATAACAGCACTTCCTGTATTGTTTAAAGTATTTATCGTGCTCGAAGGACCAAGACGACCAGCTGTCCTGCATTGTGTTATGCATGAAGTTACTGACAACTTCACCCTACAGGCGTTAATTGCCTTTCCACTATCATGACTTGCTGACATTTTAGCTGGTGTTAATATTATAAAACTATATTATCTATTGTTGTACGTAGTAGAGCCACGCTGCAGCTATTATGAATGTAGCACGAATGGGTCGGCCCGACCGGGGAAGGACCACGCTCTCACAGAATACCAGCGTAAAAAAGCAGCGTAATGCTGCCGTGTTTCGTATGGTGGGTGTAGAGAATCTTAGTCCTCAAGAGTGAGCGCATCTGTATTTTGATTCGTAATCGAGGTTAAATATAGATGTCTATGGGCCTCAGTATCCACTTACCATCAGGTGGACTGTGTACTCGTTTATCACCCTATCCTATAAAAAATAAGTTGATGTAATGCGGATCTATGGTGTGGTGTGCGTAGCTGTATGGCTCTACCGCGTAAAATACCAGTAAGTTTTTAAGAGATTGCATATTTAGGAAGTAGGTAAATATTTAATTCATAATAAAGTCAGTTTTCGTTATTATGTCTGTGGCGACATACAATTTCTGTCAGTTTGGAATATGTTTATTGAACGACGTACACGTCGACGCGATGTTCGTGTCGGTTGAGGTCCAATCCGCGGCGCCATTCGCACAGCCTTCGCAGCCGTCGGGGAGCCTTCGTTTTACCAGCCAGTCCGCTTTTAAACGTCCTCAGCGATAGACGCTACGCTCGCGCTGCCTGAATAACCATTATTTAAATCGCGTCACCTATAATCAGCTTTTTAGCTAACTATCTTTTCTACAAGTAATTGTTTACATTTATTCTCCACCTCTTTCCCTTGCTCTGTATTCTAAACTTGTATTTCGAAATGTCTTTTGTGTGGAAATAAAAGCAGTATTCAATTCGTGGAGTGCAGAATTTTTATTTGCAATAATATTCATTGCAGACATTGAAACGAATTTTTTTATTTTAATTTATTATGGCGATCCTAGGCCGCCTTAAAGTATGAATAGAAAGCTAGAATAATAGTTTACGTCGTAGTTATTTACTTAGTAGAGAGCACTTCATTAAAAAAGTATAGAGTAGGGAAAAGCTCCGTGCATTGACTCGTACACACACGAGCGCGCGTTGTTTTTGCTCATAAATCCAGCCACGCTGCTGCTATATTATGGTTGTAACACGAATTGGTCGGCTCAACTGAGGTAGGACCACGCTTTCACAGAATACCAGCGTAAAATAGCGGCTTAATGCTGCTGTGTTTCGTATCGTGAGTGTAGAGAACCGGTGACCCTTTTTTTTTGGAAACGAGACATTCCGTCTTATTCCTTCATAAATGTAGATGTCTATGGGCCACAGCATCCACTTACCATTAGGTGTACTGTGTGCTCGTTTGTCACCATTCTATAAAAAAAAGTTTAATTTCAGATATTTAGAAATAAATGTAGACCTTATTCACGCGTATTGTTAAAAACTGTAAAAAGTGTATTTATATTTCGAAGTTATGTAATTATTAAATTAGGCTAGTCTTTGAAAACTTACCCTGTATAATTTTGTGTGCAGGAGTGCGAGCCGGTGAAGGTGGTGGGTATGCGGTACGCGGTGCGGGGGACGCGGGGCGCGCGGGTGGCGTGCCTGCGGCTTTGCGGCGCGCCGCCCGGGGCCCGCAGCCGCTGCTTCACCGTGCGCTACCACGACATGCCCGACGTGATCGACTTCCTGGTGCTGCGCGCGCAGTACCACGCCGCCGTCGAGCGCCGTTGGGGGCCCGGCGACCGGTGCGTACACTAGCCACCTCACACATCCGTGAGCTAACCCACTCACTATTCTAACCCGCATCATCTTGCAAACCACACTCTTCAAATCTTAAAATTGTCTATTTTAAGTCATAATCCTATTCAATTAAAACACAACATTAAATTACCAAATGAATCGAAATAAAATTACCAATTAAATAAAAAAATAAGTTGAAATAATTGCAGAACAAATAAAATAATAAAAAAATATATAAAACGAAAATAAAACAAAACTAATAAAACAAAAAAGACCAAAATAGTCAAACAAAATATTACACATCATTAAAATATTAATTATGATAATCAATGTCAGGGATAAAAAATGATGTAATGTTGGTTGTGGTTCCAGGTTCCGGTGCATGATCGACGACTCGTGGTGGACGGGCATGGTGGTGGAGCGCACGGGCAGCGCGGAGGTGGAGACGGAAGCGGAAGCGGAGGCGGGCGCGGGCGCGGGGGAGGGATCCGCGGCCGCGCGGCGCTGGGCGCGCGAGGCGGCCGCGCACTTCCTGTCGCTGAAGGTGCGCTGGGACAACGGCGAGATGGAGCGCCTCTCGCCCTGGGACCTCGAGCCCATCGATCCCAACAGGTCAAACCTTACACCACTTTGAAATACCGTACGAATATACCAATAATACTAATTTTGAGTCTGTATCTGAGTTATGTGTAGTGATCGGATAATATACTATTCCTCTTACACTCTACATACTCATAAATGGATGTGGAACTTAAAATAAACTTTGAGTAAATACACATTAATAATTATGTAATATCCCTGTTTTTTTTTTAAATAAATATCACATGCTAAAGAAAATGTTTCTCCACCATGATACAGACTGTTTTCGCAATCCTGTATTTTCTTGAATCCCGAGATTCATATTTTAATAAATATGTTTTAAGAAGCCGCTTCCATAATTTCTTAGCGAAAATGAACTTTAGGTAAATAAGCATCTGATTATCCGATCACTAGTCATGAGTGATCAGCACAGGATAAAACTCACGTGGTAATATGACGTTGTTTTTTTCTTAATAGAAAGGTACCCAAATTAACGTTCATCAGTTTTAATTTTTAAATGCCTTCACCGTTTACTTAAAGTGACTGTAACATCACATGACTTGACCACATCTTGTCAAATTGAATAGCGCTTGTGTATTTGACGACAAGGGTGACAAACAAGCGCACAGTGTAACTGATGGTAAATGGATACTGTGGCCCATAAACATCTACATATATCCTCAATATAGAATCAAAATACAGATGCGTATCAGCGATCAGGAGTGAACCTTGAGGACTAAGATGGAATTCCTTGTTTCCAGAAAATAGGGCCTCCGGTTCCTTACACTTGCCATACAAAACACAACTGAATTGAACAATTTCACCCAGGTATTCCGTGAGAAGGTGGGCCGATCCAGACGTGATACAACTACGAGTATAATATAGCTACAGCATGACTATCACGTATAATAATTAAAACTAAAACTTATTTGAAATAAACTTCAAATCACGTCGACAAAGTACGCACATAAATAGTGACAGCGTTTTCGTACTTCTTCAAAAACAGAGTTAGATCGAAAACCTTCGCGGTTTACAAAACAAATGACTAAAGAAGTTACGGACAATTAGCCGTAATCTAATGCGCAATGTATTAGTACCGCGTAGTGCTTGTTTAGTACTATACATAGAATTCTTTGGGTTATACAGGGTTATTTTGCAATAACCGGCCGAATTTGCAGGTAAGGTTCAGTAATATAAGTGAATGGTGAAAAAAATATACTGGTTGATCTTTTTTACCGTCTGGAAAAAAAAATAGGGTGTAACATGTGAACGGAGTAAAAACCGATGGCACTGATATCTTACAAAAAATAAAAACAAACATTTTGAATTAAACATTTGCAAAAAAAAATTTTGCCCTTGAGCCTGTGACCTTACGAAGTGACAAGGTCAAAGAGCCTACTAAATTTATTGTTTATTACCGTTTGTAAAGTAGGGTGAATACGATTTGAATTTCGATAGATTTTATTAATTAATTAATTTTTTTGTAATATATCAGTGCCATAGGTTTCTTCTACGTTCACATGTTGCACTATAAAAGAAAAAACCTCAAACATTTTGTCCTTTTCATCCTATATATTCAAAATGTCATTCATAAATGTGTAGAGCGTACTATTTTATTAGCATGCACACAATGGGTGCGTTTGGCAGAAAAAACTCAAGCGCTTGTAAGCAAAATGGCGATCGTAAGCGGTAAGCGCTGTCAAATCGTAAGTAGCTATTTTCCTCCAGGACACGATGTTAGTTTTAACCGGGGAACCTAACCTAATTTAAATATATGTTTGTAAAGTATTCATATTAAAAACTTACCAATCATGAATTTTTAATAACATATATATGTTTATTCACGTCATTATATTACTTAAAACTAATATTGCACAAAACAACTTTTAAACTCTACTTCAAAACAAACAAATTAAATAAGCAAAATGGCGGATTGTGTCAGCGCTACTGAAGTAGCAATCGTGTCCTGGCCGAAAACTATTTCAGCGCTTGTAAGCGCTTGCTAGCGCTTTTTTCTGCAAAATGCACCCATTCGTAAGGGAGTGTTGCATTCGGAAGCAATCGGTAGCGTTCGACCACTTAGGCGCTCGCGCTCGGTTACAGATTTAGCGCGTTTCCCCACCCTTTCCATTTTATAAGCCGTTAGGTACGTTCACTCGGGCTCCCGGTCCCGGCCGACAGTGTTCGCTTGACCGTGACCTCAATACGTAACAGTGTCCTATTTTTAAAATTCGTAGACTAATTTCGCAACGAAAATATTCGAACCGCGAATGCTATGAAATGTTACGGTGTTACCCTTTAAGCAATGAAAGTTCACATGTTGCGCAAAGATTATAAAAAAGTGAGTTTTTGCCGCATCTATAAAAACAAGGAAATAATGCAGGTGTCGACCCAAACGGAGTACAATTTTGGACAAGACTTTGGACAGTTCACAACTCTGTCACATGGTAGTGCTCGAGATGGTAATTCAGTATTAAGCCCGGCCGTCGAAAATGAAGTGATCGAGTTTTTCGTGTGAAACTCCGCTCTAGCACCAATGCTGTAGTTCGAGAATGCTAAGTTAGATAGTACTATGTGTGGAAAATACTGAATACTTCTGGATATCACACATCTCATGGCTATGCAATCACTAAATAATAACGATGGTCCACCTCGAAAACATTATTGTGAATGGTGCGGTGTTATTTGAAGTGATTGCATATTTAAGTTGTAAACAGTTCGTTGTAAAAAGTTAATAATTTTAAATTGTTAATAGTAGGTAGTATAAATCCTGGATTCCTATTTTTATGTGGTAGAGCCATGCTGCAGTTATATTAGATGTATAGTTGTAGCACGAATGGGTCGGCTCGACCGGGGTGGGACCACGCTCTCACAGAATACCAGCGTGAAATAGTAGCTTAATGCTGCTGTATTTCGTATGGTGAGTGTGGAGAACCGGCGACCCATTTTACTGGAAACGAGGCATTCCATCTTAGTCCTCACGGGTGACAACACATCTGCATTTTGATTCGTAATCGAGGATAGATGTAGATGTCTATGGGCCACAGCAACCACTTACCATCAGGTCGACTGTGTGCTCGATTGTCACCCTATCCTATAAAAAAAAAAAAAAAAAAACGTTATAATAAAGACAATCATTAGTTATGTCCGTGGCGACATGCAATTTCTGCCAGTTTTGATTAAGTTTAATGAACGACATATACGCCGTTCAGTAAACCTAATCAAAACTGACAGTAATTGCATGGTTGAGTTTGAGGTCAGCAATTGCGACACCATTCTCACTGCCTTTGTAGCCATCCAGAGGAGCCTTCGTTTTACCAGCCAGTTTGCTTTTGAACGCCCTAAGCGCTAGATGCTACACTCTTGCTGCCTGAGTTATTTAAATCACACCAACCTATCATCTATCTTTAGTTCTATCCTAGTTCAACTATCTTTTTTCTAACTTGTTTACAATAATTGATAGAATCAGGCGTTACTTTGCGGAAATCCAATATAATAAAGTTATTGATTAATTTGCAGCCTTCCGCTAACTAATTAATTACAATGATGTGTCTTACGTGGATTGAAGAGCACCTCCCGCCCTCCCTCAATTGCGTGCACTAATTCCGTCACCACTAAGCACCACTACTCCCAACACCACTACTCCCGGCACCACTACTTTCAACACCACTATTCCAGGAAAGACACACCATCGATGTCTAAAAAAATATAATCAAATAAATCAATATCTTTATTAATTGTTTACATTTATTCTCCGCCTCTTCTCTAGCTCTATAGTCTAAACTTGTATTTCGAACTGTCTTTTGTGTGGGGGTAAAGAAAAATCCGTGAATATCAGGGAACTTCACTCGAATCTAAATGCCCAAACTAAACTTTTTATTCCTTCCTCTGTGGTGCCCATCGGAGGCAGATCTCAGCCATGGTTTAGTCGCTCCTGTAAAATAGCATCATACTGTAAGCAGGAGTGCTACCGGGCCTGGGCTGACGCATCAACGTCCCGGGATGTGAACACTAATGCCCTAAAAAAGAAGTTTAATTTTGCCTCCAGGTCCTTTAAAAGAGTCATTGCCAAGGCAAAGTCAGAGCACAGGGCTGAATTGGCGAGAAACTAGTTCGCCTTCCTTCTGGAACCCGTGCATTCTGGTCTCTCTCCAAGGCTGAAGGGAATTTCTGCCAGCCATCTATTCCATCTCTGCACAGGAAGGACGATTCACTGGTCCATGACACAAAGGAAAAAGCCGATTGATTACAGATCGGCGCATCAAGGTCTTTGTAAATGTTGCATGCTCCGATTACAAGCCTATTAACGCTGGTGTTCCACAAGGCTGCGTGCTATCGCCAACGCTGTTTCTTCTGCATATAAATGATATGTTGCAAACCCGTAACATTCATTGCTATGCAGATGATAACACTGGTGATGCTCTTTACACCGGCCGTGCCAATATATCTCGGGAAAACGTCTCCGAGTACCGGGACAAACTTGTGTCTGAAGTCGAGCCTTTGCTGAACAGAGTCTCGGATTGGGGGCGACTAAATCTAGTCTAGTTTAATCCTCAGGAGACACAAGTTTGCGCGCTAACCGCAAAAAAGAATCCCTTTGTCGTATCTCCTCAGTTCCAGGGTTGTCCCCTTGTTGCCTCAGCCAATATCCGAATCCTCGGTGTCGACATGTCGATTGACGTGTAGATTCGTGGTCACTTGGAAGGCCGGCACTCCGCCTGCAACTTTACAAGGCGCAGATTCGACCTCACATGTTAGTTCGTATCTCTGGGCTGGGGCTCCCCAGTGCCAGCTTCTTTAGCTTAACTGCATCCAGCACAAAGCGGCTCGAATCGTCTCGACCGATACGACTTGGGAACCTTCAAGAAAAAGACTTACTCCTTTCTAAAAGGCCGGCGACGCACCTGCAATTCCCCTGGTGTTGCGGATGTTCATGAGCGGCGGTAGTCACTTAACATCAGGTGAGCAGTATGCTCGTTTGCCTCCTCTTCTATAAAAGAATATTTAATTCGAGGAATGCAGAACTTTTCATTAGCATAGCACCCACCTCACACGTCGTTAATTTTTTTTTTCATTTATTATGACAGTTCTAGGCCCTTTTATAGTTTGAAGGGAAAATTGGAATCACAGTTCGCGTCGCGTGGTTATCAACTTAGTAGCTGGCGTGTCATTAAGGATGTAAATAGTAGGCTAAAGCTCCGTGCATTGACTCGTACACACACCTTTAGGTGGACTGTGCTCGTTTGTCACCCTTATTCTATAAAAAAACATTGATGTTTATGGGCCACATCATCCACTTACCATCAGGTAGTTTGTGTGCTGATTTTTCACTCTAATTTTATGAAAAAAGTGTTTGGGTTATGTATGTTACGTTTGTGCGCGTACGTGGGCAGATTGCCGCAGGAGCCCGGCGGCGCGGTGCCCGTGCTGGCGGGCGAGCTGGCGGCGGCGCTGCGGCGCGACGAGACGCACGAGTGGGAGCCGGGCGCGTGCCCCGCGCTTGCCTCACACGTCACCCAGCTGATGACGCTCGCGGTCGCCGAGCCGTTCGTGGCGCCCGTGGACCTGCAGCTGTACCCGTCGTACGCGCTCGTCGTCGCGTACCCCATCGACCTGTCCACTGTGCGGGCGCGTTTTGAGAACCTGGTGGGTGGGTCACTACTGGGGTGTGTCACTACTGCACTCACTCGCCGCTACACCACGTCACGTGACCCAGCTGATGTCGCTCACGGTCGCCGAGCCGTTCGTGGCGCCCGTGGACCTGCCAGCTGTACCCGTCGTACGCGCTCGTCGTCGCGTACCCCATCGACCTGTCCACTGTACGGGCGCGCTTTGAGAACCTGGTGGGTGGGTCACTACTGCACTCACTCGCCGCTACACCGCGTCACGTGACCCAGCTGATGTCGCTCGCGGTCGCCGAGCCGTTCGTGGCGCCCGTGGACCTGCAGCTGTACCCGTCGTACGCGCTCGTCGTCGCGTACCCCGTCGACCTGTCCACTGTGCGGGCGCGCTTCGAGAACCTGGTGGGTGGGTCACAACTGCACTCACTCGCCGCTACACCACGTCACGTGACCCAGCTGATGTCGCTCGCGGTCGCCGAGCCGTTCGTGGCGCCCGTGGACCTGCAGCTGTACCCGTCGTACGCGCTCGTCGTCGCGTACCCCGTCGACCTTTCCACTGTGCGGGCGCGCTTTGAGAACCTGGTGGGTTGGTCATAACTGCACTCACTCGCCGCTACACCACGTCACGTGACCCAGCTGATGTCGCTCGCGGTCGCCGAGCCGTTCGTGGCGCCCGTGGACCTGCAGCTGTACCCGTCGTACGCGCTCGTCGTCGCGTACCCCATCGACCTGTCCACTGTGCGGGCGCGCTTTGAGAACCTGGTGGGTGGGTCACTACTGCACTCACTCGCCGCTACACCACGTCACGTGACCCAGCTGATGTCGCTCGCGGTCGCCGAGCCGTTCGTGGCGCCCGTGGACCTGCAGCTGTACCCGTCGTACGCGCTAGTCGTCGCGTACCCCGTCGACCTGTCCACTGTGCGGGCGCGCTTCGAGAACCTAAGTGGGTGGGTCACTACCATACTCACTCGCCACTACACCATGTCACGTGACCCACCTGATGACGCTCGGGGTTGCCGAGCCGTTAGTGGTGCCCGTGGACCTGCAGCTGTACCCGCCGTACGCGCGCTTCGTCGTATACCCCGTTGACCTGACCACTGTGTGGGTGCGCTTCGAGAACCTGGTGTGTGGGTCATTACCGGCGTGGGTCATTACCACACTCACTCGCCACTACACCATGTCACGTGACCCAGCTGATGTCGCACGCGGTCTATATGCCAATGAATCTGATAAAGATAAGGATCTTAAACTACAAACCAAAACACTAAGTTTTCTTACATATCATAATTTCAAACCATTTGGAAATATTATGATATGAAAATTGTATTTATTATTACAGTCTGTCAAAGTTAAAGGCCTCTGGAAAGGGCTGGCCGACGTCCAGATGGTTGACCCAAGTATTGCTGAAGTTCTTCTCTTTCATAAACCTTTTCTCACATATTTGTGGTTCCTGGTGGTGACAAGGTGTTGTGTTGGTTGCAGTTCTACCGGAGACCTGCAGCGGCTCAGTTTGACGCGCGCTACTTGGCCAGCAACGCTGAGCGCTTCAACAAAGCTCACTCGCCCATCGTGCGCCAGGCCCGCCTCGTCACCGACCTGCTGCTGTACATCATCAGGTACCGTCAGCTGCAGAGCAGCAACATGCAACAACTGGTTTCAACTGCTCAAAAATTACTCTGGTGTTGTGAACAACCATTTCATCTGTCACGTAGAAGCCGGATATTTTTATCAATGGATAGCTGGCCTAAATACGGCTCGAAGAACCAGACCAAAAACTGATGTAAGAGCCGCAGGCAGTTTCTCTCCCTTCGATAATAATAAATTTCGATAATAAATAAAGTATGTTGCTAAGGAGACAATAAATTTATGTACGTTCCAATCCGTATCCGTAATCAAAGTTCGTGCAATTATTGTACGAGTACACCGCCATCTATTGGCAGCTATTTTTAACTAGAATATAAAATTTTCGGTATGTGGTTGCAGCAACTGGCTAAACGTGGACGTGGTGGCGAAGTATCACGAACTGGCGGCTTCCTATCACTCTTCGGATGACGAGCCGCTCGCCACCACATTGCATAAGGTATCGTTAGTTTTCCCCAACCTTAGACTCGTCCTCTCATTTCTTTTCCTTTACTTACTGTCTGTTCAAAGTTACCTCCATATAACTTTTTAATGACTCTTCAATATTATCATTAATATTATTGAAAAGAACCAAATTCCTCGGCTGAAAATAGGCACATCATCCATCACAGCCAATAATAGTCCACTGTTGAACAGGTCTCCCCATAAATTGCATCATAGTGGTGATTTTGCCATAGTTGCCACGCGGGTTGGCAACTATCCATCCATCGTTTATCACAGCCAATAATAGTCCACTGTTGAACATAGGCCTCCCTATAAATTGCGATTTGGCCATAGTTGCCACGCGGGTTGGCAACTATCCATCCATCGTCCACCACAGCTAAAATAGTCCACTGCTGAACCTAGGCCTCACCCATAAATTGTCTCCTAAAGGTGGTTTTGCCAAAGTTACCACGCTTGACAGGCGGTTTGGCAACCGCAGTTTTTTTTTAATTATTTAGTGTTGTTATTCGGAACATGCTGCTGTGTATCTTCTGTTTCAGTTTCCCTCCGTCGTCTCTCACGACACCCACGTGAGACCAAGTTATTCTCACACCGCCGCTACACGGGTTGGCAACCGGAGATTTTATATTATTTTGAGTGACATGAATAACAAGATGATGTTGTGACCAGGATTAAGAAAGGAATGCTTCGGTGGTTTGGTCATGTGGAAAGAATGAACGAGGAAGGAGTGACAAAGAAAATTTATGTTGCAGAAGTGAATGGAAGAGTCGTAAAGGCACGTCCTAGGCGAACATTTATCGACCAAATTAACGTTATTCAAAACGGGCCAAATTAGGAGTACCCGTAACCGACGAGCATGTATGCGTAGATAATATAAAAGAGAAAAACACCCCCGTCCTGAGCCACCTGCATCCATCGACTTCCTGCATGTCTTACCAGGTCGTCACTCCATCTAGTGGGGCGGTGGGCCACCAGATACGCCAGCCGGCCCATTGCCACTTCAGCTTACTAATCCGTTGGGCTATATCGGCCACTCTGGTTTTACTGCGGATATCCTCATTTATGAGTCTATCACGCAGAGAAACTCCGAGCATAGCCCTCTCCATAGCTCGCTGAGCGACCTTGAGCGTCCTCTTACGGCCAGCAGTGAAGGACCACGTCTCAGATCCGTAAGTCATCACTGGCAAAGCGCACTGGTTGTACACTTTAGTTTTCGGAGATTGAGGTATACCTGACGAGAAGATGTGTCATAATTTCCCGAACGCTGCCCAGCAGAGTTGAATCCGTCGATTGACCTCTCGGTCGAAGTTGGCCTTACCTAGTCGGACTATTTGTCCCAGGTAAACGTACTCGTCAACAACTTCGAGCATAGTGCTCCCAACAACTACCGGCATAGGTGTGACATGGACATTAAACATGATCTTTGCTTTGTCCATGTTCATCTTAAGACCTATCCGTTGGGAGACACTATTAAGGTCATTGAGCATAGTGCTAAGGTCCTCCAGCGATTCTGCCATAAGGACTATATCGTCGGCAAATCGAAGGTGAGTGGATTACTCGCCATTGATGTTAATACCGTATCCTTTCCAGTCCAGTAGCTTGAAAACGTCTTCCAACGCAGCGGTGAAGAGTTTCGGGGATATAACGTCACCCTGTCTTACACCTCTCTGCAGTTGGATAGGTTTCGAGCTCTGGTTCTGTACTCGGATAGCCATCGTAGCCCTACTGTACAAACACTTCAGCACTTTCGATATACCGACAGTCAACTTGGCACCGCTGAAGAGACTGTAGCACCGCCCAAATTTCGACGGAATCAAAGGCTTTCTCATAGTCCACATACGCCAGGCAAAGTGGCAGATTGTACTCTTCGGCCTTCTGTACAATCTGCCGCAGGGTATGTATGTGGTCTATGGTACTGAAGCCTTTTCGGAAACCGGCTTGTTCGTGAGGCTGGAAGTCATCGAGTCTGCGTGCGAGACGATTCGTAATGACTCTCGAAAACACGGCGCAGAAGGGAAATCGGTCTGTAGTTCTTCAAGAGAGCGTTGTCGCCTTTCTTAAAGAACAAGACCACCGCACTTCTGCTCCACGCCTCCGGAGTAGTGCCAGCATGGAGGACGGAATTGAAGAGCTTCTGAAGGACTTCAAGTACCGGTGTTCCACCCGCTTTCAGAAGCTGCGCTGTGATTCCATCCTCGCCTGGGGCCCTGCCATTTTTAAGGTTCTGGAGAGCCTTTCTAATCTCGCTCAGACTGACGTCCGGGATATCATCGGAATAGTGTCGGATAAGACTTGCTCTTGAATCGTTACTCACACTTGCGTGTGGCTCCAACGATGATGTGTACAGCTGCCCATATAACCTCTCGATCTCACTCAAAATCTCAGGTGTCCCGGAAACGATGCTGCCACACTCAGTCTTCAGCTTTGACAGTTGGCTCTTTCTGGCAGGCAGATCTCTGGCAAAGACTTTGGAGCCCTGGTTCCGCTCGATCGCTTCTTTAATACGAGCAGTATTAAAGTTGCGTAAGTCTCGCCGCATGCATTTGGAGATCTGTCTGTTCAGTTGCCTGTATGCTGTCAAATCTGTTGATTGCAGCCTCATCTCCCGTCTAACAGCCATGAGATTAAGAGTGTGATCGGAGAGTTTTTGTGTTCTTCTGCGGCGAGTCTTGCTGAACTTAGCTCCGACCGCATGGACAGTTTCCAAGAGCTTGTCATTCATATCGTTCCACTGCATTGCAATCTTCTAGGCACTGAAAGCGGTTACGTAACTCGAGTTGAAAGGTTTCGGGATTCTGGATTAGAGCACGAGGGGGACGGAGCGTTGACTTCATTAGACGAGACCTCTCCAACTTAACGTTTAGGCTCAGTGTGCCTCTAACCATTCGGTGATCGCTGCCGGTTTTCACCCTTGCGATCACTGAGACATCACTGAACAGTTGGCGTCTGGTCTTCATAATGAAGTCAATCTCATTTTTTGTCGAACCGTCGGGGCTCGACCAGGTCCACTTCCTGTGGGGCCGCTTCTGGAATAAAGAGTTCATCATAAAGAGTCCCTCTGACTTTATGGGAAGACTCCATAAAGTCAGCCAGCTGCTGGCCCCTACGGTTCCGTTGCCCTACTCCAAATTTCCCTAACTTCAGCTCACCGCCTTCTCTTGTGCCTAGTTTTGCGTTGAAGTCTCCCATCAACACCGTGTAGTGGGTTTTGGAGGAATGCATGGCTCTAGAAATATCCTCATACATTTCCTCCACCTCCTCATCGGGATGTGCCGAGGTTGGTGCGTAGACCTGTATGACCTTCAGCGAATACCGTTTGGTGATTCTGAGTATCAGGTACGCGACCCTCGTCGACACACTCCCAATCTTTACAACGTTGTTGACGAGAGACTTGTGGACGATAAATCAGATACCTCCTTGGGACAGATGGTCGCCCTCCGGGTGATAGAACAAGTTGCCGGACTCGAGGATTACCGTGTCCTCCCCCTCTCTTCGGACCTCAGATAATCCAATAATATGCCAGCGCAACTTGTCTACCTCTTCTTCCAGCTCCAGTATCTTGTCGTCAGTCCTCAGGGTGCGTGCGTTATACGTTGCCAGGTCGACCGCCGAACCAACTGGCAACCGAACCTCCACCGGAGATTCTTAGCCCCCCCTGCCCCGCCGTTACCATGGTCGCCACCGTAGCCAGGAATAGCGGGGCCGCCGGGGACTGGGGGCCGTTTATTTGCGTCGTTGCTCATGGGGGGATATTTGCCATAGTTGCCACGCTTGGCAAGCGGGTTGGCAACCGCAGTTTTTTATTATGTTATTGTTGTTATCAGGAAGATGCTGCTGCCCATCTCCTGCCTGTCTCCCTCTGTCGCCTCTTACGACACCCACGGGAAGATATGGGGTAGTGGATATTCTCAACCGCCACTACACGGTTAACATATCTAAGAATAACATATGTTTTTTATATGTGCAAATATTTAAGTGATAGCATATACGCCTCCCAGTGCTTGTTACAATCCACTGTACATGGTGTGTACGTGTGCAGAAGCTGTCGGGTGGTGGCGACGGTGGTGGTGGTGGTGCGCGGTGGGTGGCGCGGTGTAGCGCACTGCTGGCGGAGCTGAGCGCGTCCGCCGACGCCGAGCCCTTCCGCCAGCCCGTGTCCCCGCTGCAGGCACCAGGTCAGTGCACCACGTACATGCCCGCTGCAGGCGCCACGTACATAGCCTGGCGGAGCTTTTTTTATTGGATAGGGTGACAAACGAGCACACAGTCCACCTGATGGTAACGGGATGCTGCGGCCCATAGATATCTACATCTATCCTCGTTTACGAATCAAAATGCAGATGCGTTGTTACCCGTAAGGACTAAGATGGAATGCCTCGTTTCCAGTTAAAAGGGTCTCCGGCTCTCCAGACTCACTATACGAAACACAGCAGCATATTTCACGCTGGTATTCTGTGAAAGCGCGGTCCTTCCCCGGTCGAGCCGACGCATTCGTGCTACCACTATGCTACTAATATAATTGCAGCATGGCTCTACAGAAAATTAAAAATAAATTTAATAATATATTTTAATTTAATAAAAAAAATTTAATATAAAAATAAATTCTGTCGAGTAACAGAATTTATTCGTCAACGTTTGAATCTTTTTTGGTATGAGATAATATATTGCTCTCTATTTGTACGATTTTAATACAATGACGGTATTACTGTGATATACCACGTTAAGTATAGAATAAGGTGACAAATAAACATGCAGTCCTCCTTATGGAAGGTGGTTGCTGAGGACAATAGACATCTACATCTATCCTCGGTTAAGAATCAAAATGCAGATACACTGTCCATCCGTGAAGACTCTACGTTTGTAGTAAAAAGGTGTCCGGGTCTTTACACTCACCATACGAAACACAGCGGCATGAAACTGCTAATTTACGCTGGTATGGTAAGAGCGTGGTCCTATCCCGGTACCCATTCTTGTAACAACCATAATATAATTATAATAATAATGTCCTTCAGACCGAATTTCGGTCACGGCGGCCTGCCTCAACGAAGACTAGCTATCGGTGTAGGACAGGATTTTTTTAAGTATATGTGCAAGTACAGGTGCACTCTCTATTCTCTTACTCTCATGGTCCGATGGGACGGTAAACCGACACGACCGGAGAGAGATCAGGCGCAGGATAACGGATTTACGTTTTTTCCGAGGCACGGGGGGGAGGGGCCTGAAACACCGCTAACTTCTTGACTCCGGGCAGCTACTGAGAATTTCTTAATGGTAAAACTCAATAACTGATATTTTTTTGGCCTCCATCCGTGATTCGAACCCCGGACCTCATGATTAGCAGTCACACTACTACACCACTAGACCTATAACATAGCAGCAGCATGTATCTGCTGCATGTGTAAGGGGATGCTCACGTGAGTTCATGCAATATTTTAATTTGAAATCTGATTCGAAGAAAAACATTGCAAACAATATAAATATGATATAAGCTTACCTATTATTAAAAATATGATTTACTATAAAAGTACCTATATTACCGCTATTCGTGTATACAATCAGTTACCACCAGCTATTAAACAATTAAATGGAAATATGATCAAAACAAAATTAAAGAAATTGTTAACTAAAAATGTTTTTTACAATCTTAATGAGTTTTTTAATAAAATTAATGTTAGTAAGTAGTAAATTATAAATTTATTTTCTTAATTGTTGCATATCCGACATGGGGTAAACTGTTGAGCCTTAAATTATATGTTTTTGTACTAAGATCATATTGTACACAGTTATGCAATAACTGTGTAGTTTATGCTCATGCTATATATATGACAGCCTAATAGACATTCACAGAGTAATATTCCCTTTTTCATTTATTCCCCGAATCTCGCAACATTACAAGTGTATGTTTATGATGCGCAGACTACGCGCGCGTGGTGGTGACCCCGATGGATCTGGGCACGGTGCGCGCGCGCCTCAGCAGCGGCGCCTACTCGCGCCCCGAGCAGTTCGCGCGCGACGTGCGCCTCGTCTTCTCCAACAGCCGCCTCTACAACACCAACAAACGCAGCCGAGTGAGTACACATCGCTCGCTCTGTCTCGCTCACACACTCAATACTCATCTCTCTCCGCTACCGTCACAGCCCATTAAAGTCCACTACTGAACTTAGGAATCCCTTATAGATTGCCTCATGCCTCATAGTTGCCACGTTTGGCGAGCGGGTTGTATGAATGAATGAATGAATATACTTTATTGTACACCACAAACAAATTTACAAACAACATAACAGAGAGCAGATTACATGTACAATTTGGCGGCCTTATCGCTACATAGCGATCTCTTCCAGGCAACCAAAGGTGTAAAGGAATAAAACAGTGAATACTAGGTAGGTGGTGCAATATAAATGTTTTTTTTTTTAATTCCCAGTACTTATTAGGAAGATACTGCTGTCATTTCCTGGTTTATTTACTCAACTCTTAAGACACCCACGGGATGATATGATATGGGTAGTGGATATTATTATACCGCCATTACACGGTTCATGATTTGTTTCATCATGTGTTAAATTGATTATTTCAAATCAGACATCACGGTCCATCTAAAGGTAAAAGTGACGCTTTCATTGTAATTGAGGATTGGGAGAGTAAACGTGATGCTATGGTTTCTATTGCAAACTATCTTAAAGACATATTGTGTAAATCATTATACAGCTTTGTTTTCCAATAACCGGCCAGATTGGCTGAGAAGATTCAGAATAATTAATAATAATGTCCTCCAGACCGAATTTCGGCCACGCCGGCCTGCCTCAACGGAGAATAGCCATCGGCGTAGGACGGGATTATAGTGCCCAAGTGTATGCGCAAGCACAGGTGCACTCTCTATTGCCTCTCCTATAATCCGATGGGACGGTAAAGCGACACTACCGGAGAGAGATCAGGCGCAGGAACAACGGCTTTACGTGCTTTCCGAGGCACGGGAGTGAGACACCGCCCACTTCCTGACTCCGGGCAGCTACTGAGAATTTCTTGACGGAAAAACTTAATAATTAATTTTATATTATATTCTTATATTTAGATAATTAATATAAGAAGCAAATAATGATGATTATTAAATTCCAAATGCGAGGTAATGCAATATTTTAACTGATTTTACTGTGCGCACATACATTCGTAAAAGTCGATTGACAGTCAAAAACTTTGTTTCTTTGTTTGAAAAACATTCAATTTGATATAATTTCAATTACTTTTATTTGAGTAGCCTTATTAACTCGTAATGTCAAAAACTACAATAATAGTATATTATTATTTATATATTTGAACTTAACTTTAAAATTTGGCTACTCTTTGAAAAATAACTCTGTGTACTGCTAGACTAATTATAACATTATATTGTCTTAAAAAAACAAGTGGTTAACAATGTAAAGTCTAACTTATGTGACCGGTTACAAAAAGTAGTTATTAATGGAACTGAGACTTGGAGGACCCTTAATTATTGGCGTGCCCCAAAGATTAATGTTGGGACCACTGCTCTTTTTTTTAATATACATAAAAAAATCTTCCTTTTTTTACTAAAAACTTATGTGAAACAATAGTACTTGCTGATGATACCTCTGTAGCATTTTAAATTGATAGAGTTAAAAACTCATTTGATAAAGTGATGCTGTATCTCAAGTGTTACACTGGTTTACAACAACTTGCATTTGGAAGTCGTTCTGTTTCAGCTCATTAAAGTCCACTGTAGAACACATGCCTTCCCCATAGGTTGTCTCATATAGGGATATTTGCCATGGATATCACGTCTGTCAAGCGGGTTAGCAACCGCAGCTTTTAAGCCGTTATTTTGAAGATGCTGCTGCCCGTTTCCTGATTTGTATCGCTCTGTCGTCACTTACGGCACCCACAGGATGCCATTTGTTATTCCTACACCGCTAATATACGGTAATTTTCTAAATAAACCTAATTCGGATAGATTTACTCGATGACGGTGCGTCTGTCGTCGCTGTTCGAGGCGCTGTGGGCTCGCGTTGAGAGCGCCCGTTCGGGCGCCCGTTCAGCTGACCGCCCCGCCGCACGCTCCGCCGCACGCTCGTCCCGCGCCCCTCGTTCGCGCAGTGCACGCCGAACACGTCGTGCCGCTCGCCGCACTAGACGAGCAGCACGTGCTGCGAAGAATGGTCAGTATCGTCTTAATTTGCATTCATGCAATTATTAAATAGAATAGAATTACGTTTATTTAATATAGATTACAAGTATATTTATTGAGAGCTATTTAAGATTTACCACTATTTCCTAAAAAAAAAAACGTCTGACCTGGCAAGAACCAGTTAAGAACTCAACGCGATTTCTTAAAAAAAATTACAATGTTATTTTATACAATAAAAAAATGATCGATAAATAATGAAATGTGTAATAAGCAGCAGCTGTATTGTACATGTGTTCTTCTTATCATATTCATATTAAAGTTAGTGTGTAATAATTATATCCTTATGCTAAGGAATGGTCCTTCGAGCCGGATTATCAATATTAATTTGTTCATAATGATTTCTTATATTTACGCGAACACTATACATGATTAAAACTACTTTTACGGATTTTATCGCGTTTATTTTTACTTTTTATTTACTTTTATTTTTAATTCCCGACGTTTCGGGCGCTTTCCAGCACCTATGGTCACGGGGGACTGAGATGACTGACGTCCCGATGTCATTGTTAAACCCGGAGTACCTTCAGCTTTTTTAATTATTGTTTATGGTCCGATCTATGCAAAATGAACTGACTATGTCCTGAGGTCTTGCAGTGGTATGCTTGGGTTTAGTTTTAATTTTATTGATTATAGGATCCCAAGCAGGTGGTAGTACCCAGCCTCCTTCTCTATTGAAATTAGGATGTTTTTTAATTTCAATAGCCTCACGTATCATCCTTGGTAGGAATCGGTGTTCTTTCGCTTTGTGGTCTAGGAGGATTTGTGGTCTATCAAATCTGATGTAATGGTTGGGTCCGTCTTGGATATGATCACAAACTGCAGACTTCCCGGAACGTTGATGCTTCACATCAGCTATATGTTCTTTTACGCGGGTCCTAATTGATCTTTTTGTTTGTCCTATATAAGAGAGACCACATTCACAATCAAGCTTGTACACTCCTGCAGCTTGTAGAGGAATATGACACTTGACGGATGGTAGGAACTGACTAATCTTCTTCGGCGGCTTGTAGAATGTTCTAATAGAAGCTCGCTTCAAGATATAGCCAATCTTGTCTGTGACACCTCTGACGTATGGATGTACAGCAGGCACACGCTCGACTGTGGCCGGCTTCACTCGGTCACTGTGACGTAGGCGCGGGACCCGAAGCTTGTTGTCGTGCAGAACTTGCTTGACGTGCTGAAGCTCGGCGGCCAGGTGTTTGCTGTCACAGATCCCTCGTGCTCTCTGTAACAAAGATTTGACCACGGTAGCTAACTGTGAAGGATGGTGGTGAGATTCACCGTTTAAATATCGGTTTGTATGGGTCTTTTTCCTATACACAGTGTGACCAATGGTGTTATTAGGATTTCGGATGACTAACACATCTAGGAAAGGTAAGGAATTATTTGCCTCTAACTCCATAGAAAATTGAATTTTAGAGTTTATGGAATTAAGATGTTCTAAAAATGCAGTTACTTTGTCTGATGGTAAAATTGTGAAAGTATCGTCTACGTACCGCTTGTAGATCCTTGGTGTAACAGGTGCAGTAAGGAGGGCTTTCTCCTCAAAGTCTTCCATGAATATATCGGCGACAATGGGAGATACAGGTGAGCCCGTCGCAACACCATCTACTTGCTTGTAAAACTCTTCCTTCCACAATAGATAGCCAAATGTAAGGCAATGTCTTAGTAATACTGCATATTCTGCTGGCATGTCATTTTCTTCTAGTTTCCTAGTTATAATTGAGATGCAGTCTTCAACAGGTAGGCATGTAAATAGAGACTGAACATCAAAACTGACCATGGTTTCATTGTCAGTAAGATGTAGGTCTTTTATCTCACTGACAAAATGGTAGGAATCCTTAGTGTGTGCTCTCGTGTGTCCTCTGAGTGGTGATAATATTTTAGCTAAGTATTGAGCCAATCTGTAAGTTGCCGAATCAATCTGACTCACTATTGGACGTAATGGAGCATTCGGTTTGTGTATCTTTGGTAACCCATACAACCTCGGTGGTTTGGTACATGAAGGTATTATCGAATTAACGTCCAGATTCAATTTTTCGGAGTATTTCTTAATTAGATCGCTAGTTGTTTTAAGCGTATTAGTTGTAGGGTCTGTTTTGACCTTTCGATAAGTAGTTTCATCCGACAAAAGTTGTTGTATTTTAAAATTGTAATCTGACGTATCCATTATAACCTTAGAATTACCTTTATCTGCGCGGAGAATCGTAAGCTCTGTTCTGTTGCGTAAGTTTTTCAACGCGTTAAATTCATTTTTGGGAAGATTTAATTTCGGCGCTGAACTTCGACGTAACATAGACGAGATGTCTTGACGTATGGCCTCTAAATCTTCATTACCAATATTATTTTTATACAGACAGTCCTCAACTCTACAGATAATGTCCTCATACGGCATTTTTCGCGGTGTTATTGCGAAATTAATACCTTTTTCTAAAACTTTTATTGTGGGGTCGTCCAGTGTTTGTTTTGATAAGTTGTAGACAGCGCGTTGTTTATGATTCGTGTCTGTGGTCAACGATTTCGTATGACATTTGATTTAGTTGTTAATTTATGGTATTTATCAATGTGTTTATTTTTGCATTCATTGTATTTAGTTGTTTCGCGTTTATCTAAAGTTTCCATGCAATTTTTATAATCAAATGCCGATAAAACTGTCTTTAATTCACTGGACGAATTGTTTATGGTTTTGTTTATGGAATATAGATCGGTACGTTTTTGCTGAATCACCGTTATTAACAACTTTTTACTAGCCTGATTTAAGATCTTAGCGCTTCCTCGAATGTTTTTTTTAGTGGATATCTTGACACACGTAGGAATGAGATTATGATCTCTGCATCTCTTCAAGAAATTTAAAGCTGTTATGTATCTTGCGCGCTTGGTCTTTAGATCTTCTAATCAGCGTATTTTATTTGCTATTTCCAGTCCGTACTGGTTTACATAATGATTTCTTATATTTACGCGAACACTATACATGATTAAAACTACTTTACGGATTTTATCGCGTTTATTTTTACTTTTTATTTACTTTTATTTTTAATTCCCGACGTTTCGGGCGCTTTTCAGCACCCATGGTCACGGGGGACTGAGATGACTGACGTCCCGATGTCATTGTTAAACCCGGAGTACCTTCAGCTTTTTAATTATTGTTTATGGTCCGATCTATGCAAAATGAACTGACTATGTCCTGAGGTCTTGCAGTGGTATGCTTGGGTTTAGTTTTAATTTTATTGATAATAGGAACACTGGACGACGCCACAATAAAAGTTTTAGAAAAAGGTATTAATTTCGCAATAACACCGCGAAAAATACCGTATGAGGACATTATCTGTAGAGTTGAGGACTGTCTGTATAAAAATAATATTGGTAATGAAGATTTAGAGGCCATACGTCAAGACATCTCGTCTATGTTACGTCGAAGTTCAGCGCCGAAATTAAATCTTCCCAAAAATGAATTTAACGCGTTGAAAAACTTACGCAACAGAACAGAGCTTACGATTCTCCGCGCAGATAAAGGTAATTCTAAGGTTATAATAGATACGTCAGATTACAATTTTAAAATACAACAACTTTTGTCGGATGAAACTACTTATCGAAAGGTCAAAACAGACCCTACAACTAATACGCTTAAAACAACTAGCGATCTAATTAAGAAATACTCCGAAAAATTGAATCTGGACGTTAATTCGATAATACCTTCATGTACCAAACCACCGAGGTTGTATGGGTTACCAAAGATACACAAACCGAATGCTCCATTACGTCCAATAGTGAGTCAGATTGATTCGGCAACTTACAGATTGGCTCAATACTTAGCTAAAATATTATCACCACTCAGAGGACACACGAGAGCACACACTAAGGATTCCTACCATTTTGTCAGTGAGATAAAAGACCTACATCTTACTGACAATGAAACCATGGTCAGTTTTGATGTTCAGTCTCTATTTACATGCCTACCTGTTGAAGACTGCATCTCAATTATAACTAGGAAACTAGAAGAAAATAACATGCCAGCAGAATATGCAGTATTACTAAGACATTGCCTTACATCTGGCTATCTATTGTGGAAGGAAGAGTTTTACAAGCAAGTAGATGGTGTTGCGACGGGCTCACCTGTATCTCCCATTGTCGCCGATATATTCATGGAAGACTTTGAGGAGAAAGCCCTCCTTACTGCACCTGTTACACCAAGGATCTACAAGCGGTACGTAGACGATACTTTCACAATTTTACCATCAGACAAAGTAACTGCATTTTTAGAACATCTTAATTCCATAAACTCTAAAATTCAATTTACTATGGAGTTAGAGGCAAATAATTCCTTACCTTTCCTAGATGTGTTAGTCATCCGAAATCCTAATAACACCATTGGTCACACTGTGTATAGGAAAAGGACCCATCCAAACCGATATTTAAACGGTGAATCTCACCACCATCCTTCACAGTTAGCTACCGTGGGCAAATCTTTGTTACAGAGAGCACGAGGGATCTGTGACAGCAAACACCTGGCCACCGAGCTTCAGCACGTCAAGCAAGTTCTGCACGACAACAAGCTTCGGGTCCCGCGCCTACGTCACAGTGACCGAGTGAAGCCGGCCACAGTCGAGCGTGTGCCTGCTGTACAACCATACGTCAGAGGTGTCACAGACAAGATTAGCTATATCTTGAAGCGAGCTTCTATTAGAACATTCTACAAGCCGCCGAAGAAGATTAGTCAGTTCCTACCATCCGTCAAGTGTCATATTCCTCTACAAGATGCAGGAGTTTACAAACTTGATTGTGAATGTAGTCTCTCTTATATAGGACAAACTAATAGATCAATTAGGACCCGCGTAAAAGAACATATAGCTGATGAGAAGCATCAACGTTCCGGGAAGTCTGCAGTTTGTGATCATATCCTGGACGGACCCAACCATTACATCAGATTTGATAGACCACAAATCCTCCTAGACCACAAAGCGAAAGAACACCGATTCCTACCAAGGATGATACGTGAGGCTATTGAAATTAAAAAACATCCTAATTTCAATAGAGAAGGAGACTGGGTACTACCACCTGCTTGGGATCCTATAATCAATAAAATTAAAACTAAACCCAAGCATACCACTGCAAGACCTCAGGACATAGTCAGTTCATTTTGCATAGATCGGACCATAAACAATAATTAAAAAAGCTGAAGGTACTCCGGGTTTAACAATGACATCGGGACGTCAGTCATCTCAGTCCCCCGTGACCATAGGTGCTGGAAAGCGCCCGAAACGTCGGGAATTAAAAATAAAAGTAAATAAAAAGTAAAAATAAACGCGATAAAATCCGTAAAAGTAGTTTTAATCATAATTTGTTCATTTTATTTGGTGTGAATTATGGCGTATTTCTTGCTAGAAACATTTTTAGTTAAGTTTTATCATTTGTTTAATCTGTGCGTAACTCATAAGCGTAACAACTGTGGCGAATATTCCCGTAAAAGGTCATTTATAAAGAAGTTTTATATTTAGCTGAAAACTGTTGATGTGGTATGAGGTGGTGGTATAAGGAATAAATAATGTTGACTTGTGCAGTATACTTTTAGCGTAAAGTTAGGAACACAATACATTAAATAAGGTTCAATACAAAATAAATAAATAAATAAATGAATATATGTTGTATTTAAAGAAACGTAGTAGAATAGCTTTTCGAACACCAGCTGCACTTGTAACTACCGTATTCCAGTAGTGTAATACTATGCGGCTCGAAGGAATAACACGTTAGAGTGACTGGGTATAACTAAACATAGCCTCCTCTCACACAGAGCCGGGGGAGAGGGCCCGGGAGGCGGTGGGGGAGGGGGAGGTTGCGCGCAGCTCGGAGTCGGAGCCGCTGGCTGCCACGTCGCGGCGCGTGCACGCTGCGCGCGCCGACTCGTGGGACAGCGATGCGCCGCTGCGCTGCCACAGGAAAGGTGCCGTGCTACCTCATGCTGCTATTCATACCTTCATTTCCTGTGTATTTAACATCTGCTTTGTGATTCTTCCTCAAATAGAGACGTCTGGTACTGCAGTCGCCAATCGACCCCCCAATCGTGGCGGTTGTGGTATATTCTCCTCTAGTATCATGCCTGATGCCTGTAATGCCCGAAGACAGAGGGGAAGGGGGGTAGACAGAGTTTAGACTTACACAAAAGTTCACCTACACAATCATAAACCTATTATCCCATCTGTGGCCTTTTACGACATTCCAGGCAAATGACACACTTGACGCATTCTTTTTTGTTTTAAGTCATTCATAAACATGAGTCCCAAACCGAAATGGGACATTTGATTCTTTATAGAGAATAGTACGAGGGGTCGGCTCATATGCCTTTTTGTTGATGTAAACATATGGCTATTAATAATATACTGTGTTTTTATACGCCATTTTCTTATTCCTGGTGTAAGTTGTATATAACATATCAAGGTTTCTCAAAGTGGGGTCCACGAACCTCTAAAGATTCACCAAACGATCGTAGAAGGTTCTCGGCAACATTCACATAACGATTGCCTGCCTACGTATGCAACACGCATAACGGTACAGGCCTCTATAAATGTTATGCGTACATATACTCTATGGTATATGTACGCGTAACATTTGCAGCTGCAAAATGACAATTTCAATGGTGCAGAGCCCGCCGAACAAAAAATAACTTGTTATTTTATCACCGATGTGACTATAATCGCCCTTTCGCCCGCCCGATTTTAAGCAGTTTTTTAGGACTTCACCGTTGTCTAAGAAATTTAATAGGGTGTCGAAGGCCTACAAATTTGAGAAAGCATGCATTATAGTGACGAATAGTAACAGTGTAAATAAACATGTAGGCGAATGAGCATCATCTTCAGATGCACTCATGATGGGTGGCGCAAATATGCGTGTAAAACATAAAATACAATGAGCAGACCGTTAGCAATTCGTCACAAACATAGAATACTATAATACATACATAATAGAACGGGGGAGTGGGCGGAGCCCGTGTAGCCACTAAAATGCCACTAACCCGTTAATTCACACGTATAAATGTCAACACGAGATGTGTTTTGACAACAACAAATTTCGCATAATTTGCATGCATTTAGAAAATGCCAAATTGCACTCTATTAACAAATAAATATGTATTAAAATCCGTCTGTCAACACAGCGAATCGGATTTGTAGTAGTGATAATACGACGTAATTGCTTGTATGTGTGCTCCCGGCGACGCATATCCCTGTACAAAGTAAGGTTGACAGCCATTCTATTGTGTTTTTAGATAGTTTTTTTAAGTAATATAATGACATGAATAAACATATACATGTTCATGGTAAGTTTTTAATATGAATACTTTAAATATATTAAAATAGTGTGTCCTAGAAAATACTACATTTACTTTTCCCTTACCTTGCTCCTTTTTTCTCAAACGACCCATTGTTTTCTATGGTCGCAAATATATGATACGCTTCTCGATGGTGATTTTACTCAAAAATCCTATAAACAACAAAGGTTGCCACGGATGCGACGCTTCCGAGAGAGTAAAACCTTCACTCTCGATCCAACCAGTATTTTATACATTCATTAATTTAATCAAACTGTGCAGCAGCAGTGTTAAAATAAACTACCTAATGTCGTCCCGTGGATGTCGTAAGAGGCGACAAAGGGAAACAAATCAGGAGATGGGCAACATCTTGCTGATTACAACACAGAATAATAAAAAAAATATTTCATCGTCAATCGTGGCAAATATAATAATAATAATAATAATTTATTGAAAACTTTAACTTGTAGTACATATAAAACCTTACATGAGATAGCTATAAAATTAGGTAAAAAAAAACACAAGTGAAGGTGACGTTCTGTTCTCATTGCTAGACTAAGAAATAGCCTGTATTAAGGAGATTCAGTCCCTTAAATATGATGAAATTCCCCTATGATCCAATCATAGATTAATGAGATTGGGTCATAGGGGAAATTTCGCCATAGTAAAAAATTTTAGATACGGATGCCTATGTTCAGCAGTGGACTTTTATAGGCTGTAATGGATGGATTGTGAAACTAGTAAGTGTTTATTCAAATTACAATTTTTTTTAATTTAATTTGTTTTTCAATGAATTCACCAGGCAAAGGCGTGGGGAAGAAAAGCAAGACCAGCAGCACTGAACCAACGCCTTCGACCAGTCACGTTGTAGGATCTCAAGGTGGGTTTTAGTTTTCTACTAAATGCTTGAAAACTCGTATTAAGTGTGGGTTCAGCAGCGGGATAGTTGAGCATTGGACTATAATAATCAGTAATGAGTTTATGAATAACGTTTTGATATAATGCTAATCATTTAGTATCGCAAATATGTTGATCCGGCTCGGGGGACCAAGTTATGATTATTTTAGTTTTTATGAAGTTTGAGGCATTCCATCTTAGTCCTCACGGGTGACAACGCATCTGCATTTTGATTCGTAATCGAGGATAGATGTAGATGTCTATGGGGCACAGGAACCACTTACCACCAGGTGGACTGTGCGCTCGTTTGTGCTCTTTTTATGCTCTTCTAGAACTCTAAATGACTTTCATTTTCCGTGTTCACGTTGCAGATGAATCAGTAGAGGAAAACGGTGTCGCATCTGACGGTGGGTCCGACCGCTCGCACATACAAGTGCTGGAGGAGGAGTTGGCCGATGATGAGGTCGAGCTCACGTACGAACATCAGCACGTATGTATCTCTGCGCGCGCATACATATACGCATGTTCACACACACACACAAACGGACACACAGGCACATAAACACATATGCAAGTTACATATGCCTACTGAGACCTAGCAAGCCATGACGAAGACATCCTGGGGACATTTTCGCTGAATGTGCTGCAATAGTCACCGCGCTGAGGGTGGTGGAGTTACATATGTCTATCGAGAGCTCGCAAGGAATCAGGAAGTCATCTACCATACAGCATCGCCTGCTAAGCAAAAACCAGCACGACTTTAAAGATGTGACTCAATTTACTTACGTGACGTAAAAATATTCAATCTTAATATATATAAATTACGTGTCACGTTGTTTGTCCGTGATGGACTCCCAAACTATTCAACCGATTTTAATCAAATTTGCACACCGTGCGTAGTTTGCCCAACTTGATAGATAGGATAGCTTTTTTGTCCATGAGTGACCCACAACTTTTTTTGCGAATTTAAGTATGTTTAACAGGATATGACAAAGGGTCGTCGCAAAGGGCAGGACAACGTCTGCCTGGCAAGCTAGTATAGTATAAAAACCAAGGTATAATAATTGTTAAGACAGCCCATTAGTAAATAAGTTAGGTTGTAAGTTTTAAAAAATAAAGGTAATATAGGTAAAAGTCTTCCTCACCTTCCACTGCAACCCTCCTTAAGCTGCCGCAGAAGTAATTCGCACATATGTTTCGTGTGTACATTTTAAAAGTGATGCCTGCGTTCGCAGAAGACGAGAAGAAAACGTCGGCGAGCGCGCAGCTCGGACAGCAGCGCGCCCGCCAGCAGGCGGCGGACGCGACGCCCGCACAAACGGTAACGTTTTGTTATTTTTTCACCTTCAAGAATGAAATGTTTTTTTTTTCCGAATATAGAAGTTCTATTTTTTTTAATTTTAGATGTTTTTTTTTCATAACTTTATTAAAAATTATTAAGAAAAATTAAAAAAATAATTATTGATTTTTTATGTCATTTAAATGGGCTTTCTGAAAATGTAAATTCAAATGCCAGTGACATCATTATGTGCTTTAGGAACTCCACCGCATGTTGAAATGATAAAAAACTCATGTATACGTTGTAAAAATTAATAAAAATCATTGCATAATACATACACACACACACGCACACGCACACGCACACGCACACACGCACACGCACACGCGCACACGCACACACACACACAACACGCACACACGCGCACACACACACACACACACCCCTATATATATATATATATATATATATATATATATAAAAAAAAAAAAAAAAAATATATTATTTATTTATTGTGATGACACATCATGGTGATACGAATATAGAAAATACAAAAGTATAGCATGATTGCGACTGGCTCACAGCTTTAGCGGATATTATGACGTCGCAACCAATCCACATGTCGTTTTTTTTCATTCTAAAACGGAAATTTTTTTTATTCTGTATAGACAAATAATTCTTATTAAAAGTCATTTTTTACTTTTACCACTCGTTCGAAAAAAACCTCTGTCCTGGGAAGAACCAGCAAGAAACCCAGCGGAACTATTTTGTAAATAAGAAATAACACAATGAGAGAGGTTGTACAAACTATTTACAAAATCTATTTTAGAAACAGTTTGGAAGCGACAACCTCATTCCCAGAGGTTATTATCAACCATGTATTCATTTATATTATTTTTGTTTAATTAAATATTTAAAGTTAAGTAAGAGTTGTATAGGACCTTGGGACCATCATCCAAGGGCCCTCGCTGTGGTTTACGGGCTCTGACCACAGGCCACGCCAGAATGCGACAGTGTCAGCTTGATCCGATCCTGGGCTCCTTTCACATACCTCTAGTAGCTCCAATGATTTATAGAGCCTCTTCTGATCACTCTGGAAGAGACAATTCTGGTTGAACCGCCTTGACCTCTTGGTAAATCGTCGAATCCGCTTCCCCCAAGCAGCGACTTTTTGCTTCAGATCATCTATGCGCTCCGTTAGTTTCTGCGTGATATCCGGCTGGGACAGACAAAGATATTTGTCCAAGCAAACGCCATTCTTACGTTGCGCACGTTCTCACTCTATTATTACCCGACCTGAAGCTCGTATTATAATATTACCCTTTGCAATACGGTTCTCGATTCTTTTTTCCACTCAGGGATCGCGCTACTTTGTCTAGTAGCGCGTCCAACCATGGGAAGTTTGGCGCCAATAATACGGCAAACTGCCACTGCGGCGCCAAAAAGAATTGAGTTCATCTCGCAAAGATCTCGGCTGGCTTCCAAATAGGTCACCAGCATTGGGTTAAGAGCCCTCACGACAGCCCGATTTTGCTTGTGTAATTGCTCGTATAAGGGAGCGTCGATAAAATAGAGCGGGTTTGCTGGCGGGATGTTAACTGGAGAGCATACAGTAGCAGTTAGATGAGCAATAAATAACACTTCTTGAGAGTTTCTTCTTATTTTATTTCTTGATTCCTTATTATTACATTGCCGGATTTGGAATGTTTTACCACGAAAAACGCCCCTTTTTTTATAAGCGGCTGTAACCAATCATAATTAAGAAAAAATCGCACACGGCATTAGTGAATCTATTGACCAATCAGAGCACAGAATAACCCTTTCTAAGAGAGATTTACAATTCTCTTAATAAACGTGGTAAAACATACCTTACAACATTTATATTTATTCCTAACGATAGATACAACTTATTTCTATTATTCTAAACCTAAATTATTCAATAAACCTTTATTTTACACTTATAAAAAATAAAAATAGCTTCGCGGTCGCTTCACGGTTTAGCTCCGGAGTAGGATAGTATTTTTTGCCGAACATACAAGTAGCGCCGCCAAGAGGTAGGAATGTACAACACTTTTTCAGGATTAATGCTTAAGAATCTATACAATATTTTTTCATAAAATTTAAATCTTTCTCATAATGAAATGACATTATATAGTGATTAATTGACATATTAATGTTTCTTTTGAATTACTTTAAAGTAAAAAGAATTACATTAATCACCTATATGTTAATAGCTCTTAAAGTTATGATAAAAGAAATCTTACTAGAAAATAAGCTTATACTTGCGTCTAATGTTCTAATCAGACCTAAATAATATTAAATAGATTCATATAAGTTACTTTAAGATAAGAATAGAAGTGCTTAATTTACTTTCCCGTTTTCAGCACTAATCAGTCTTTACACTTAGCTTTATTTTACGAATAGGAAACAATTAAGATTAAATACTATCACTTAGTTTTAAATCACTGATAAGAAATAATTAAGATTAAATGTTCGAATTCACTTTGTCGTCGCTAACATTCTCCCCCACGGTGCGTAGCACTGCATCCTCTGGAGGCGACGACTCCGCTGGCACCAGCACGATGACACGTCGAGTTGGACGGCGAAGTATTCCACCTGATGTCCGCACGTCCAGCACTCTGGTTCTTCCGTCTGGTCCGGGATAAGTTTTGACGATTTCACCGCGAGGCCATGAGTTTCGCGGTAATGTGGCGTCCACTATTAGCACGATGTCTCCTTCCCTTGGGTCTCTGGTGTCTTTCCCTTCGAGTTTCCTTGGCATCAGGAGAGGTAAGTATTCTTTAATCCACCTTTTCCAGAAGTGGTCTGCGAGTCTCTGGGTGGTTCTCCAGCTTGCCTTTCCGATGAGCTCCGTGTCGCTGAACTCTCCCGGCGCCATAGCTCCGCATGATCTTCCCAGCAGAAAGTGGTTCGGTGTTAGGCTCTCCTCGTCTCCTGGGTCCATGCTGATCGGGGTGAGAGGTCTCGAGTTGACGATGTGTTCAACTTCAGTCATTAGCGTATGGAGTACTTCCTCGGGCGGGCTCTTCTCGTTGAGGACTACTGCTAGCGCCGTTTTGACTGTTCGTACGAGCCTCTCCCAGGCGCCTCCCATGTTTGGAGCTCCCGGGGGGGATGAACTTCCACTGGATGCCTTTTTCCTGTGCGGCCTCTTCTAATTCCCTTTTTGCTCCGACGAAATTAGTTCCGTTGTCGCTATATATGGTTTTCGGAGTTCCTCTTCTGGCTGCCATTCGTCGGAGTGCCATGATCATTGAGCTGGTGCTGAGAGAAGGTACCAGCTCTAAATGTACTGCTCTAGTTGTGAGACAGGTAAATAAGGCTCCCCAGCGCTTCTCGTTCCTTCTTCCGATGGTGACTTGCATCGGCCCGAAGTAGTCTACAGCTGTGCAGGAGAACGGAAATTGATGATGCTGCAATCTTTCACTCGGCAGATCTCCCGTTGGTGGTATCTCTGGTGAACTCTTCTTTGTCTTGCACCATTGACAGCTGTGTGCGACCGCTTTTAGAGTTGCTCTTAAACCCAAGATCCAGAACCTTTGACGAATTTCGTTCATTACTGTAGCGGTGTTTCCGTGAAGGAATTTCCTGTGATAGTGTTGTATTATTAGACGAGTTATTTTTTGTTTTCCGTCTAAAATGATAGGATTCATTATTCTTCCGTTTTGATCGTGGAATTTCATTGTTCTGCTCCTTAATTTAATTATTCCGTCGTCTCCAATGTAAACGTCGATTTTCTTGAGTCGACTCGAATTTTCTAATGGCTTTTCTGACTTCAGTTTTCTTATGTCTGATGCAAAACTATCGCTCTGGCTTATTTTTTTTAATATCTCTTCGGACTTTTTTAGGTGTTCCGCTTCTATGGGTGAGTATAGGCGCTTATTTTCACTTCTGCTGGTCGACGGGATTGAGGTTTGTGTTTCTTTCTTCTGGATTTTTTTGTGGTTCCCAGGACTCATCCTTCTGGCGTGCGGCGGTGGTGGTCACTTCACAGCTCTTCTTTAGTAGGTGTGTAAAGGCGATCACTCGGGCTGTAGTGCGCAGCAGTCGCTCCCAGCTCGAGAACCTTTCTAGGTTTAGTAGAGTGTCTTCTGCTGCCATTGTTGCCAACACCTTTTGCTTGCTTTTTTCTTCTGGCATAACAATTTCCGGTTTGAAGTCGTGGAATGGCCATTCTTCTTCTGGTCGGCGGAGAAATGACGGGCCTTTGAACCATCTGGCGTTGTGGTCGAATTCGATTGGGGTTCCCCTCGTGGCGTCGTCCGCTGGATTCTCCTTGGTTGGCACCCATCTCCAGTCTTCTGGCTTGGACCTTTCTTCGATCTCGGCGAGTCGGTTGGCCACAAAAGTTTTGAACTTCCTTGGTTCTGACTTTATCCACTGCAGTACTGTGCTGGAGTCGGTCCAGTAAACCTTCTTCGATATGTCGAGCTCTGATTCCTCTTCGATTGTGGCGGCTAGTCTGCTTCCGAGTAAGGCCGCTTGTAGCTCTAGCCTCGGAATTGACACAGGTTTCGTCGGCGTTACCCTTGCTTTGCCGGCGATCATGGAGACATGGACCTTTCCTCCGGGCTCTACTATTCTCCAGTAGACTACTGCTGCATAGGCTTCTTCACTCGCATCGGAGAACGTGTGTAGCTGACCTTTTCTGCCTTTGGGTGAGACGCATCTCGGGATCTTCAGCCTTGTTAATGTTGAAACTTCTTCCAGGTATTTCATCCAGGCTTCTTTTTGATGTTCGTTGATAGGTTCATCCCAGTCTATTTTCTTTCGCCAAATGTCTTGGATTAGTTTCTTTCCTTGTATTAGAACTGGTGTAGCAAAACCTATTGGATCGAATGTGGACATTACTGCGCTTGTGACTTCTCTTTTTGTTGGAGTCCTTCTGCCGTCTTGCAGGTCTTCCGGTGTGTTGCGTAGCCCGACGTTGAAGGCTAATGTATCTTCTTTCACCAGCCATCTTAATCCCAGAGTCTTCTCTTCCTTGGTCAGTTGTAAGGAGTTTTCTTTGTTTGTGTCTTCTACCTCTGATATTACCCCCGAGTTGTTGCTGGCCCATCCCTTCAGATGAAAGTTTGCTCTTGCGTGAATGTCTTTCACTTCTTTGGATATCTTCTTTGCTTCGGTTGTAGATGCGAAGCTTTGCAGATAGTCGTCCATGTAGTGATTTCTCTTAATTGCTTTCACTGCTTCAGGATGAGTGTTCTTAAATTCCTCTGCGTTCTTGTTCATTACGTATATCGCTGTTGCAGGTGATGACGCTGCTCCGAAGATGATTGAAGACATTCTATACTCTTCAGGCTTGCCGGTTCTTCGGTTTCCGCGCCACAGGAACCTGAGACTGTCTCGGTCGTCTTCTCTGACTTTTACTCGGAGAAACATGTCTTGTATATCTGCCATGACGGCTACTGGTCCCTCTCTGAAACGCAGCAGTACTCCGAATAGTGATTGTAGCAAGTCTGGGCCCGAGAGCAAGGCGTCGTTGAGGCTCTTTCCTTCGTACTTGGCTGCTGCGTCGAACACTATTCTTAGCTTCTTCTTGACTGGGTGTACAACAGCGAAGTGGGGTAGGTAGAATGTCCTTCCTTTGTTAGAGGTTTCTGGAGCCTTCTCTGCGTATCCTTTTTCGATTAGACACAGGATCTGCTCCTCGTAGTGCTTTCTTGCTTCTTGATCACGATCCAATTTTTTCTCGATGCTGACCAGGCGTCGAACAGCTTGATTGTAGTTGTTGGGCAGGCGTTCATCTTCTTTTTTCCACAGGAGACCCGTTTCATATTGACCGCTTGGCAGTTTCTTGGTAGTTTTCTCGAGGGTTTCTAATGCTCTTCTGTCGCTGTCGTTAGATGGTGAACGATTTTGGATCCCTAGAGACTCTAGTTGGAAGTGTTCTCGGACGAGGTCTTCTATGTCTTCCTCGCCAGTGGTCGCTTTGCCATAATGAGTGAAGTGTACTGTGGCAGTTGTTCCTGATTCACATCCGTGTAACACCCACCCTAAGTTCGTGAGGGAAGCTACAGGATCTGATGGTTTGCCCTTCTTCAGTTTTCTTGTCACTATCAGTCCCCAATTGTTTTGGCCTATCAGTAGCTTGGACCTCTCGGTGACGTAGAGGAGTTGATTTTCAATTGCCTTCAGGTGCTTACAGTTTCTCACGGTGTCCTTGTTTATGCATTGTTCAGACAGCTTCAGGTCGTCGATGGTCCTTGCTACGATAGTTCTCTTTTCTTTCCTATGAGCCCCTTTTATTTTGAACTCGATCTTCTGTGAACTATCTTTTCTTAACACCTTTCCGCCGACGGTTTCGATCGTGAGTTTTTCTTTCTTTCCTTCGACTCCGATTTTATCAGCGATTGATGCGTCTAAGAGTGTGACCGTTGACCCTTCGTCTAGTAGTGCCAATACGCGAACTTGTCCCTTTGGGCTATAGAGGTTCACGGGGATCATCTTTAGGTAGGCCTTTTCTTCTCCTTTGGCGTTATGAATAGAGGCGACCTTTTCTTCTGAGGTGCTATTGGTGTCTTTTGCTTCTTTTTCTATCGACGCCGGTTGTTTGTCAGAATGTAAGATGGTATGATGCCATCTTTTGCACAGCTTGCAGACTGGTGCTTTACAGTTGATTCTTGAGTGTCTGAATCGAAGGCACTTGAAGCATATCTTTGCCTACTTGGTCATATCCCATTTTTCATTCAGGTTGGCTTCTTTGAACCTTTTACATTCTAATGCGAAGTGTTCTTCCCCACAGAACGGACACGACTTCTTATATTTCTCTTTTGACGCTTCTTGAACCAAATGAACGGGTTTTCTTATTCCTCTTCTTTGTTCTGAGGACGCTTCGGGCGGGGCGAAGTCTCCGCACATGTCTGCTTCTGTTTCTAGGAACGCTTCGATAAGTAATAGCTCCTGAATTTCCTCATCTCTTCTGCTTCTGTGGTAGGCGAACCAACGGAACTTCATTGACGTCGGCATCTTGTCTACTATAACTCTCAGCGTTTCAGGTGAACTGAGATACTGTGGTTTCTTCAAGGCTTTGATTGTCTCGACTGCGTTCTTTACTTTGCTTGCAAATATGCATATGTCGCTCGGGTTTTCGCCGACTCTTGGGAGGTTCTTCATTTTCTCTAGTTCTGCTAATGCTAGTGCTCCAGGTCTTCCGAATCTTGCTTCCAGTCCCTTAATCACTTCGCGTGGGTCTTCGGCGGTGAACAGCAGGCTTTGGACGGCTTCTCTAGCTTTTCCTTGGATCGCTATTCTAAGGCGCGCTAGGTTTTGATTGCTACTGAAAGAAGCAGCCGTATCCTCGTATGATCTTTTGAAGGCTAACCATTCTTCGCAGGCCCCGTTGAAGTGAGGGAGTTCGAGGTGCTTCGGTGAAACGGTGTCACGTGATTTTTCTGATAGCTTTAGTATGACTGAAGCTAGTTCCTGGATGTCACTTTTCTTTTCTTCTGCCTCTATTGGTTTGTGGTTCTTATTAGGCATGTCTCCGGTCTGGATGAACCAGCGTTCGACTTCTCGAGTTCGTTCGAACAGCTCTTCTCCGGCACCATCTTCCTCTTCTGATTCCGCGGTGAGAAGTTCTAATTCCGCTTGAGCAACTTTTGACCGCGCTTCTGCCAATTCTAGTTCCCTTAATGCCATTGTCATCTTTGCTTGCGCTTCTGCTCTCTTCCTATGCGACGAGCGAACGGAAAGCGTGTCTGGATCGCGGGTCGTCTTCTTAGGGTGAGGCTGCTGCAGAGTCTTCATTGCGGCACTTCTTTCTTGAATCTGCGGCGTTGGATGACTTTCTTCTTGGTGAGGAACTGACGCTTCGACGGTGCGTGTCGGGGGGTGGTATGGGTTACGTCCCCCGGTGTTGATTCTTTTCCGGCAATGTTCTTGTTAAGAAGTACGGGTTGTCTGTGTACGCTGCTGGGCGATGCTCTTGTAAGCGTCGATCGATCTGAAGTTGACGTGTTAGTAGCCGTCGTGTTTATAGAATCACTCGGCGTATTCATGCTCCAATCCGTCGTACTGGTACCCGTAGTGGCGTTACTTTCACTCGTAGTCTTCGACTGCACTGATTTTGATCTTGTATTTGAAGGCATCTTCCTAGTTTTCCTTAAACCCGATCCGGCTTCTCGAAGGACCAATGTAATTGCTCGTATAAGGGAGCGTCGATAAAATAGAGTGGGTTTGCTGGCGGGATGTTAACTGGAGAGCATACAGTAGCAGTTAGATGAGCAATAAATAACACTTCTTGAGAGTTTCTTCTTATTTTATTTCTTGATTCCTTATTATTACATTGCCGGATTTGGAATGTTTTACCACGAAAAACGCCCCTTTTTTATAAGCGGCTGTAACCAATCATAATTAAGAAAAAATCGCACACGGCATTAGTGAATCTATTGACCAATCAGAGCACAGAATAACCCTTTCTAAGAGAGATTTACAATTCTCTTAATAAACGTGGTAAAACATACCTTACAACATTTATATTTATTCCTAACGATAGATACAACTTATTTCTATTATTCTAAACCTAAATTATTCAATAAACCTTTATTTTACACTTATAAAAAATAAAAATAGCTTCGCGGTCGCTTCACGGTTTAGCTCCGGAGTAGGATAGTATTTTTTGCCGAACATACAAGTAGCGCCGCCAAGAGGTAGGAATGTACAACACTTTTTCGGGATTAATGCTTAAGAATCTATACAATATTTTTTCATAAAATTTAAATCTTTCTCATAATGAAATGACATTATATAGTGATTAATTGACATATTAATGTTTCTTTTGAATTACTTTAAAGGAAAGAGAATTATATTAATCACCTGTATGTTAATAGCTCTTAAAGTTATGATAAAAGAAATCTTACTAGAAAATAAGCTTATACTTGCGTCTAATGTTCTAATCAGACCTAAATAATATCAAATAGATTCATATAAGTTACTTTAAGATAAGAATAGAAGTGTTTAATTTACTTTCCTGTTTTCAGCACTAATCAGTCTTTACACTTAGCTTTATTTTACGAATAGGAAACAATTAAGATTAAATACTATCACTTAGTTTTAAATCACTAATAAGGAGTAATTAAAATTAAATGTTCGAATTCACTTTGTCGTCGCTAACAGCTTGCTTATGGGTATGCGGGAAAGTCGCGGTCTATTTTCGAGAGGCATGCTGCACGTTTCCAAAATCGCCTCTTCCAATATGCTCCTCATTTGCTCTAGTTCGTGGGAGACTATTACATCATCGTCTGAATCAACCACAACTGGAAGATCCACGGCGGCTTCCACGTGTGGGTGCTTGTCTATCGCCTGACGAGCCGCATTCCCAGCCATAGCCGATTCATTCGATTAGGGAATAGCCTCATGCCGTAGTCGTTCGAGTTCGGGGTCATCAAATATTTTCGAGCGCATGATGAACCGATCTCGGTCTGCCAGGTTTTGTTTCGTGACGGGAATAGACGGGTCCAGCTCAGCAAAAAAGCAATGCATCCGAGCGCTATACGCTATCCCCGCAGTTTCTTCCACTTTCGCCCTATAGTATGCCTGCAGTGCGTATCGTTCATAATTTTTGTCCAACGCTTGCGACGTGCTCCACCAGCGGTGGGTGCCGCTTGCTGAGTCCGAGAAGACCCAGCCGACACCAAGCCTTCTGGTGGGGATGATGGATACGGGGGGCTGCTAGGTGATCGTGTAGCGTTCAGCGCCAGATCCAGAAGCACCCCGGTGACCTCCAGGCAGCGGCCCTATATGTCTATCTATTTTTTTCTCCGTCATCCATTTATGGGCGTCAATTTACGGGAGACGCCTAGGCCCGGCTCCGTTTCATTGTACGGCCGTAAGCACAAACGAGCCTTTGAACCCTTAGTTCTGCCGAGGAATGGCGCACACACCTCTTGGCAAGGCGCTTACTGACTGCACCGACGCAGCAGTTTTGTCACTTAACTGTTACGTCAGCGGGCGATGGGGTCGTCACTTCCCTATTATTATTATTATTATATCTATTTGTCAGAGTCCGGGAGCGGTTCTCGTCGGCGTCGTGCACCACGTCGGATTCCAGCAGTGGGAGTGGCAGTGGCAGTGGTGGTGGTGGTGGCGGTGGCAGCGGGCGCTACGAGTCGGACCGCTCGTACCGCCCGCACCGGCCCGGCTACTCTACAGACGACGACGCGCCACTGCTGCTCTACAGGTACACACACACACACCAATGCACTGAAATATACGGACATACAATATGTAACACTCTCAGACACCCCAATTAGTATATTATGTTATAATCATAATACATACACTGAATTTTTAGTTAAACATTTTTATGCACTGATTATTTATCAAATTAGTTATACTAATTCCGGAAAAATGTTGTGGTCACAGTACAAATCCACGAACGCAAAGACTTTAATGTGCTTGAAATAAAGTTCATTTTTCTTTATTTTTATTGAATGACACTATTAGTAATAACTAATATAATAATACAAATAAAGCTGCACTCTTAAAAGTCTTATTGCCTTAACCTTTCCCTTGCCGCGCCCGCCATAACAAAAAACAGAGCTTTGTACCGGGGCCTCTGTCTTCACCTCAGCTGGCGGCACTTGTTATAAACACTTATGTTTCTCACGACCTTTCGTTTATGTTTAAAGAGGTTTTAGTTACAGTTATTTGAAGCCGATAAGATTTTTGATAAGTAGAAACAATAACCATAACATATAAATGTTTATTTTACTTTGTACAGCTCTTTGTTTCTAACCGATCTTGATAAAGTGTACTTACTGACGATAAATTTTATTTTATGAATGAAACATCGTAAGTTTTTATTTTATTTTTATGTCCTTACAATCAATACAACATAGTCTTCCTAAATGAACCGAAATTATGCATATAATAATTATAATAATTCTACTTTTTCACTTGCAAACATTTGCTAAAAATTCGACAATAGACAGTTAGCGCTTGCTTTGAAAATGAGTTTACACTTACTTTTTTACTTTACTATTTACTTTTTGTGCATATATTTTATATCGTCTTCCTTTATTTTTCTTATACAGTCGTATAGATATAACATTTAGCAATTCCTAGTAAAAGTATTTACTATGGTATTCCAATAAGAAATATACTATTATTATTTTATTAGATTCTTATTAGAAATCTTGACCGTTATGAATTGTTCGCGTAGAGGTTTTATATTTCTACTTTTTTATCAATTGAAACATAAAAAGTTACTGTTGTTGTAACTTAAATCATTCAAAAACATTACGTAGTAAAGATAAATAACATTACTTATAGTTTTTTTGAAATAAAATCCAACTAAAATCACAATCACAAAACTTCAACGATTACGCAACTAACCGTACCGGTATGCAAAGGCGAATGGCTGTTATATTTGATTATGTCTATGTAACCTAAGTAACCTAAGTGAGTGAATATAATTCTTCAGAATATTCTTTAGTTCGTTCACAATCGAATGAAATAGTGTTCAATCGAAAATATACTGTATTTTTATATCAATTAATGACGAAAATAGCAGCACGTAATGCGGACATGTATACATGTCCTCGGTACTCAGCGGTCACAAAACGTGGACATGTTAACATGTCCACAGTACCTTAAGGGTTGAGTTACGGTCCATTTCAGTTTGTTTTGACTGTACAGATTTAGTGTGACTGTAATTTACGTAGTTTTAATTATTTTTGGGATAAAAAATTACCTATATTAAAAATGATAGGAATCGATTCAGTAAACGATTCTGAACAAACTACTTTCTCAAAGTGCGTTAATTATGTTACGTGTTGTATACTATTTTACAAAAAATAAAAACAAAATTTTGAATTAAACGTATGAATTTTTTTTTGAAAAATTACTTTGACCTTTGCCCTTGAGCCTGTGACCCTGCGAAATGACAAGGTCAAAGATGCCTATTAAATTTATTTTATCGCCATTCGTAAATTAGAGTGAATATTATTTGAATTTCAATAAATTTTAATTAATCCTTTTATTCAAAATTTTTGTTTTTATTTTTTGTAAAATACCGGTACCCTAGGCTTCTACTCCGTTCATATGTTACACCCTATTTTTTTCCAGACGGTAAGAAATGTTATTCAGTATATTTGAACTTAAAAATATAATTTGGATACTCTTTCAGAAATAACCCTGTAATTCTATATGACCGATCAATGAGGGCTAACAATCTCACGCTCACCAGATGTCGTTAGTTGACACTGAGGTGAAGTTTTTTGTTACGAAATGTCATAATGGTTTCTTACATGGAGGTTAGAGAACAGGAGAACGATCTCTACGTGCTAAAGCATAGCCCGCCTGTCCTGAAAATTTGTAGAATTTATAGCGGCGCTGACGTCGGTACATACCAAGTATCTGCCAAGTTATTTTTTTTAATTATTGACAAAAAGAAACATTAAAAAATGGTGAAATAATATAAAAATAATAATAATAAATCAATAATAATTTATTTATTAATAAATTATAATAATTTCGTTATTTGCAACAGCGCACAACAGCCTGTTTTTATTGAGTCAACTTAGAGATCGCAGCGCCTCACTTATTTTGTCCATATTTCTGGGACGCTATTTTCTACAGCGATCGTTCTCCTGTTCTCTGACCGCCATGGTTTCTTATATTTACGTGAACACTACACATTGATTAAAAAACTGAGGGTACTCCGGGCTTAACATTGACATCAGGACGGTCGGTCATCTGTCTCCCGTGACCATGGGTGCTGGGGATTTACCCGAAACGTCGCGAATTAAAAATAATTCAAATTAAACGCGATAAAATCCGTGAAAGTAGTTTTAATCAATACGAAATGTCATTAAATGGATTAGTAAATTTTAAAATAAAAATGTATTAGTGTCAAAACTATTAATTTAATACACAAAAAATTCCTTCTTAATAAAATTAATTCTTAATTATTTTTTAATTTTTAACCTTTTAGAATAGAAGAACTAATCTTCTATTTTTAGGAATATTCTAATGTATTTAATATAAAATGTAACTAAAATTTCGAAAAGAAACATTAATATCTACAGTCTACACTTTTCTAACAAATTAACTTTTCCCCACTATAAAAACTGTCAAATATTTAAAATCATTCGAAAGTTGGTAGAAAAAGATGCCATAATTTTTTTAAAGAATGTTACCTCCACAGTTTACGTACATAAATTTCACAAGGACAAACATTAAGACCCGGAACAATTACTTGTAGACCATACAAGTACTTATCCCGTGCGGGATTCGAGCCCGCGGCCCTTAGCGCTACAATTCATTGTTATAGTCAACCAAATCTAAGAAATACATTTTGACAGCTGTCAGACTTATTACACCAAGCATGCCAACCAAAACATGGGAACGTACGATATTCGATTCTTAAAAAGATCGATATAGATTATTTAGAGTTGGTAATCATTTACAGTTTGGTTTGAATAATACAAGAATAAATTAAAAACTGTTTATTTAAAACACAGCATTTATCAGTTTCTTCGTATTTGTTGTCACTGATTATTTCTTTCTTGAAGCAAAGTTATAAAAATTTAAGATTAAAACTAGATTACAAATAAATTTATTCAATCACTTTCAGTACAACTAATTGAGCTGTCGTTGTTTTACTATTTGATTTTCAATAATGCTGATAGAATTAATGTCTTTCAAAGTCATCCATAATCAATTTTTTTGTTTTTTCTACCACTTTTGCCCAAGCATCCTTTGTGACATGGGCACATGCTTCAACGAATATAGAAGAAACAGTCCTAAAAGTTAAAGCCGAGTCACAAAACAAGAGGACAAACACAAAATCACAAAATTACGCACAGTAAGCTTCGGAAATGGCGGGAAATTAAAATCACATAATGCACACCCATTGAGCTTATTTACCTACACAAATTTACATTGACAAAGTAAAAAAAGTTAACTTATTTTATCCACGATTCATGTAATTTTACTAAATTTAAAAATAAAATCGAATTAAATAAAAAATAATTACATAAAAAATTAATGATTAGATTATTTGAATATTTTTACCGATTATTAGAATATTTTTGCCGATTATTCGCTATAACAATGAATTTTAATCATCCACTCACTATGGTAAGAAGGTACATAGCGATATATCATTGAAACGACGTCAAGTAAAAAAGTTGATACTGATTATTTTTTAATATTTTGCTTTGTTTGAAAGATTCGAATTTAAATTAGTGATAAAAACTGTATACGTGTGTAATGAAATATAGATAACTTCAAACTTCTTTGGATTTACGTAAAAGGTTATTTTAAATCGTGTGAGTATGCTTGTACAAAGTTATTGCGGAATGATAAATGTGAAACGTCAAAAGGTAGTATTTCTTAGATTTGATTAACTATAAGTCATTGCACCACGGAGCTGTCATTGAACGCACATACACGCGTATGCTTATATTTTCGCACACACACGCATTTATACGCATACTGATACATGAAAATATTTTCCCATATTACCGTCTTATTACACGCACATACGTAGGCATATTTATTTGTTTAATTTGTAATAAGCCACATATTTCTTCTGTTTATCTGATTTGTAACGTTCTCATCTTGTAACTTTATGGTTTGGTCTGAGATGGAGATATTTGTTTTTTTTAATTATGAAAATCATAACGTGTTTTAGCAGGCAGAGGCAAGAGGGAGATGAGGCAGCTGGTCCTTCGAGCCGGGGGCGCAACAGAGTAAGTAATGCTATTGCTAAAGGTTGGTTAAGTTGTAGGTGTTGATGAAATTATGGAAAATGGTGGATTCTGTTTGGTTCTACAGGTAGTTTGAAGTGGCATTTGACAATTTCGTTGGTGCCAGCAGGGATGGAACCTACCCTATTACCATGATGATGGTGATCAATGTATGATTAACGTGGTAGAGCCATGCTACAGTTATATTAGTTGTATAGTTGTAGCACGAATGGGTCAGCTCGAACGGGGATGGACCACGCCAACTTACAAATACGGCTCACGGCATCAAGTCTGACGACTAATATCGAACGCCTTCTTTCCAGTAAAAAGGGTCTCTGGTTCTCTACACTCACCATATGAAACAAAGCAGCCTTAATTCACAGACGTGAGAGCGAGCTCCTGTCCCGGTCGAGCCGACGCATTCGTTCTACAACTATAATGTTGCTTTAGAATTGCTGTACCACGTCTATTACGTAGAGCCGTGGTAGCTCAGATGGTTAGCTCCCAGAATTGAGCGGAAGCTTGTGCCCAACAGTGGGACGTATATAGGCTGTAACTTTAATTTTAACGACTATTACGTATATAAACCCATCCGGACTCTTTACTAACAAGTAGTAATAAATGTTACCGTGTAATGGCGGTGTAAGAATATCCACTATCCTATACCATCGCGTGGCCCACGGGCCGTGGGTGACGTAAGAGGCGACAGAGGTTAACACATCAGGAGATGAGCATCAGCGTCTATTTAATAACAACAAAAAATAAAAAAACTGCGGTTGTCAACACGCTTGCCAAGTGTCGCAACTATGGCAAATATTTGTCTTTTGAGGCAATCTATGGGAGGTATAATCAATCTATTGAAAATAATTGTTCAGCAGTGTACTTCAATAGGGTGTTACGGTAACGGTACCGGTGTTTGCAGGGGGGTCGATTACGCGCACGTGCTCGTGGGAGGCGCTACAATGAGGACAGCGAGGAGGACTCACCGGCCGCCATCAGCAAGCGCTTGCCGCACCACCACCAGCGCACGCTGCAGCTGCACCAGCGTCGCCAACGCCACGCCACACAGGTAGCACCGCCACTATACCACACGTCACCACCACCAGTATACACTCCATCCACAAGTACACCACCAATATACACTCCATCCACCACTACACCACCGACAATTTACACTCCAACTAAATCTGCATCATCAGTCACAACCACCTCCCACCAGCACCTCACATAACCACGCATAACCATCACAAGCACTCACCATATTTCGCACGTAAGTATCCACTGCACCACCACACCAACAAACGTAAATATTTTTTTATTCATATAGCAAACAAACATGCAAAAACTATACCACGGTCCATAAGTCGCTGGTTCATATCCGGCTCGAAGGACCAAATTAGTCGGGTCGAACACATCAATTAGTAAAAATGGTAAAACACGGATATAATTGTGCAAGGATATTAAAATAATTGATAATATGGTAATGGTTCATTGTATATGGGCACACGCAACGGGATTGATGACTGATCGTGTACTGTCTTAATAGTTATTGCGATATTAAAATAAGTATTTAAGTGTAAATACTGACTGCGTGTGTTGAAAATTGCATAGTGAGTGAATGCTGTGACAAATAGATAGATATTTAATTTTATCCTCGATTAAGAATCAAAATGCTTTTGCGTTTTCATTCTAAAATTGTTTTGACCGTTATTACCCCTGAGGAATAAGATGAAATGCCTCGTTTCAAGTGAAAAGGTTAGATATATTAGATATTATATTATCCTTGCGCAATTACTTCAGTGTTTTACCATTTTACCAATTGATTTGTTAACCCGACAAATTAGCGATCTATGGATCGCAATCGTTTATTGTATGATATGATCCAGAGCGCGAGTACGACGGCTGCACACACGAGCGACCACAACTACTTCAATGGACACGCGACGCACAACGGACACGGTGAGGTTACACAGAGTAACTATCATTCTTGTGTTTGATTTACACGATATTAATATAATAGAATAAAATCATTTTTTAATCAACAATATCTTACAAGTAATTATTATTGAAGGATTTTTTTTTACTTTTTTTAACTTTAGCAAGCACGGTGTCTGCAATGTCGACAGTATCCGGGGGTTCGGGGGGCTCGGCGGCTTCTGGGGGGCCCGTGTCCATATCGTCCAGGGGTCGTGTACGCAAACTTACAGCGAAAGCACGTGGTCTATTGCGACACTGAGCCCAACAACAAAAACGGTCCACGTGCAGTCGCTAACATATCCTGGCAACACTGACTGATTCACAGTTGTCTTAGACTTAGAGTGTTTTAGGAGTTACGTTGTGATGAAGTTGTTTTGTGAATTTGAAGTGATTATGTGTCACTTAATGAACTTGTGATGACATGTGCACTTTTTTACCACCAGGGGGCGTCACTTATGAGTGAGGTGAAATTTTTGACAGATAATATGGCGGGGAAGTTACTTTATTAGGAAAAATGTAAGGGTTAATGTTTCTTTCTGTAATATTAGTTATATTTTATATTAATTAGATTAGTAATGAATAAACCAAACTACGGATACTCTTAAATGTAGGGAAATTAAAAAAAAATTAAAAAAATTGGTTTTCTGTAAAGTTGGTTTATGGACGATAGTTTAACGTGACAACGTCATAACAAAACATTGATGAAATAATTGCATACTTTGTGGAAGAGAGATAGATGCGGCGCAAGCCGAACGCTCAAGCCGATCGTGCCTTTCGCTCGCTCGTGCAGCGCTCTCGCTCCGATCGTAACATTACAATGAGCGTAACGTTACAATCCGTCATCCTTTTTCGTGCGCGCAGCCGGCGTTGATCGATTTATTAGACGTTGTCACGTCAAAAATGTGAAAAATATTATGGAGAAAACCACGGAAACATTGTTTTATGTATTAATATAATACTATAGAAACTAATAAACTCTTATTCAAAACGTAACTTTACAATTAAACGACATTCTGCAACAAAAAACTTCACCTCACTCCAAACTAACTATATCTGGTGAACGAAATAATATTAGCCATAATGGCTCTGGTGTTAGTTAATTTAATATAAAAATAACTGTCCGATCCGTGAGGATGAGATTGGGGGGGGGGGGATGTGGTGTGATGGTATTAGAAAAAATCATATCACGACACCTAAAAGGTCATGTGATTCTGTTAATGTTATCGTTTTCGGGGAACTAAAGATATTAAAAGTTACCATCCGCTCAATGAAATACAATAATGTGTCTTATCTAGTTTGAAGAGCACCTTCCGCCCTCCCTCAATTGCGTGCACTAATCCCGTCATCACTAATCCCAGCACCACCACTACTCTAGTAAATACCATCAAATATAATACGACACGTGTTTCGTCTCTACACGAGGCATCTTCAGGTAATATAGACTCTGCGGTGGCTGACCGCTAAGCCTTAGCGGTAGTGGTGGTGTTGGGAGTAGTGGTGCTGGGAGTAGTGGTACTGGGATTAGCGGTGACGGGATTAGTGCACGCAATTGAGGGAGGGCGGGAGGTGCTCTTCAAACTAGGTAAGATACATCATTTTATTTTATTGAGCAGATGTGTGCAAATTAACTTTTAATATCTTTAGTATAATGAATTTTTTAGAGAATAAAAAAAATATTCCACAAAAATAAAATGAAATTTAATTAAACGAGGAAACTTATACGGACGTCAAGTATAAATATACAATACTGCTCAAGTTCAAAGCTATCATCGCCGAAGACGGTGTTGTCAGATTTTATAATTTGCCAAATTTTAAGCAATTTTGTTGTAAAACACATATTCTTAATAATATTAATATGTTATATTCATTAATACAATTTTATAATATAATTTTTTTTTGGTAATTACGTAACGGTTTGGCCCATTCGGATCGGACAGGGATTTTTTTACATTATGTATACAGCGTGTTCCATATTGAAAATTTTTAATTTATTAATAGCAAATTTAATCAAGCAAATGTACATGTTTTTTTTTTTGTTTAAATTTGAATTGTGTATATATAATGGAAAATGATTTATTAAAAGATCAAACAGACATTTAGGTAAATTTGTAATTAGACATTTAATTAGAAATAACGTTAACGAATTGAGAAGTTGAAAGTTGTGAACAATTTAGAAACAAATGTTTCCCTCCATGAGTTGAATATGGATGGGGTTGGGGAAGTGAGATTTGTGTGAAGTGTGTGCAATGGGTAGCAGCAAGTGCGTGCATTTGTACCAACAGTTTATTTTTCCAAGACTGACTCTCATTGTAACTTAGATTAACTTATATTTGCAACATCCATATACGATTTGTATACATTAGTGAATTTCCAAGTAAAAAGTCTGTTTAGATTAGAAACGAATAGATGGGCAGTTTTAGAGAATTTGGTGTATTTTTATCAATAAATAATGGGTAATTGGTTGTGAACAGAAACAGCTCCACAGATCGCTCATATAACTCGTCTTAAATTTAATACGAAGCGTGTAACTCAAGTTTTATTTGTGTTTCCATAACAGCCTATAAAAGTCCACTGCTGGACCCAAGCCAGCCCCATGAATATCCTCATAGAGTGGATATTGCCATAGTTGCCACGTTCTGCAAGCGGGTTGGTAACCGCAGATTTTTATTATTTTGAGTTATCAGGAAGACGCTGCCGCCCATCTCCTGATTTGTTTCCCTCGGTCGCCTGTTACGACACCCACGGGATTATATGGGGTAGTGGATATTCTTACACCGGAAAAAAAATCAAACAGCATAACTCCTGTTTATTGCTCTCAACGTATTGTTATATATGTATTAAACTCGTTGAAAATTTTCATAAGAGCTCTTGCTGACAAATATATAAATCGTCATTGTCATAAGTTATACAGGTTGTTACAAAAACAGTGGTGAAATTTTTAGAAATGTATATGATGTACTTACGCACATTAGCGAATTATATTATCGAAAAATATCTACTTACTAATTAGCATCGTGTAGCATATTTTCAAATTAAGATAAGTATTTGTATAACAGTGGACTGCTTTGGGGTGGTGAGGTTGTGACGTTGTTAACCTACGGCTACTATTACTGTATAAAGTCCATAAATGTTACACTATACTGGTTGACATCCAAAAAAAATAGGTTGTAACATGTGAACGGAGTAGAACCCTATGGTACTGATATATTACTAAAAATAAAAGCAAAAATTTTGAATTAAATAAATAAATTAAAATCTATCGAAATTCAAATCATATCCGCCCAATCTCCGATCCGCGCAAATCAAACCCACAAACGGCAATAGAACAATAAATTTAGTAGGCATCTTTGACCTTGTCACTTCGCAGGGTCACAGGCTCAAGGGCAAAGTAATTGTTAAAAAACATGTTTTAAACGTCAAATTAAAAAATTTTGTTTTTATTTTTTGTAAAATATCTGTGCCATAGGCTTCTACTCCGTTCACATGTTACACCCAATTTTTTTCCAGACGGCAAAAAAGGTCAACCAGTATATATTTTCTATAGAACGTTTCATAAACTTACAAGTTTTATAAAGCAATGTTGGTGATGTGTGTAATTATGTTAATATGTCGATAAAATGTTGTGGGCGTTGCGACTGCGAATAGTTTACAAAGACCGTTTCATGTACTGCGATGATGAAACCGTTTTACGTCCTGGGTTTAAGGAGTCTTCGTTGCACAAACGAGTCTTTAAATTACATGGTGCGATTTTTTATTTTACGCCTATGAAAATACAGTCGAAAACGCAATGATTCAACTATCTATCTCATTCGTCGCGTCGTCGTTCTTAACGTCCCGCGTTATATTGTAGTCTTTGGTTCCGCGTTCGTTTACTACTTACGTTCGTGGACTAAACAGTCCTTACAATAAAAAGTGAACTTTTTTGTCAATGAAATACAGTCGCTAATGTTAATGATAATGCTAAGTCTGTCTCGGCCAGTCCTAAGCCTGGAAAAGTCTGAAGGGAAGTTCATTTCGTCGTTAAGAAAAGTCGATCGATAAAACGAATTATTTACTAAATAATTTCATACATTTCAAATCGTTGAAAGTTGTAAGAAACTACAACCATTTCACTCGAAGAAAACACAATTCTATTCCTTGTTGGATAAGTTTCGTCCTGTAAGGGCCTATACTATCTCAGCTCAAATTCTAATTTCGCCCCACTTCCCCGCGCGTCGTATGCTATGTACCGACATGTAGCGACTATCTAGCGGCATTGGTGAGAAAATAATCATGCTCCGTTAATTTTTGACAAAAAGAAACATTAATAAATGGTGAAATATTATATAAAAAATAATATAAATCAATAATAATTAATAATTTATAATTGTAATAATTTATAATAATTAAAATTTTAAAAAACAATTTATAATTTATTTATTTATAAATAATAATTTCTTTTTTTTTTCTTTGAATGATATTATATACTCTTATATTAAACGTTGACAGATCGTTTCAAACTAGCGCACAACAACCGCCTTTTATTGAGACAACTTTGCGATCGCAGCGCCTCACTTATTTTGTCCATATTTCTGGGACACTATTTTCTATAGCGATCGTTCTCCTTCTCTCTAACCTCCAAGGGAATGTGAGTGTTATTATAAATTTAATTTCAAGCGGTTCGGTAGCTATAATTATGTCTGGTGTACCTGGATATATAAAGAAATTAGTTTTAATTTAGTTTAGTGTATACACAGGCTATGCTGTTTCAATTTTCTAAATGATGTACTGGGGTAAACATGTGATAAATAATTGTGCTGGAATATGCAATAGTTTATAGCTGTATTTGTAAAAGAAGTGTTTTTTTTCTGTACCCGTTTGGTCTTGATCGCACTTACCATTGACCCTACAAAGTGTAAAAAATTGTAATATACCTACTAATTTAGTACTTATTTTCAGGGAAATCTATTTTTATTAAGGAATAAATTGAAATGTAGAAAATATTCTACATTACACTTGACTGTCAAAACAAGGTAGTTGTAAGTTATTGTAAACCTAATGGATTCTGAATAAGCGTTATTTTTGAATGATCTATGTGCTGTATATATAGGTGTATGTGTTGTCACACGCTGGCTGTGTGTGAGTGCGGCGTTCTGATGAAACCAAAACAAATAAATCGAATATTTTGTAAAGTATTTCCTTGTGTTTTCTGTTAACTTCCCTTTTAGTCTAGTAGTTATATATCTTGTATTTGACTGCCTCCTTAGTCTGTCAAAATTA